CAAAAAATGAGATTTAATGGGCGCTCCACTTGTTACCGCCTGCAGCCAACGTGTGCTATTAATTTTGGCTGCAATTTATATCGGGGTTTTAAAAATATTGATTTCAGTTTGGAAATAAAAATACAGGCGTTTGTTTTACGTGTTATGTAGAGAAAAAATATGATTTTTGTTATAGACCAAAACGTGCTAGCCAGCCAATTTAATTACGGTAAACTTTAATGTCTATACTCTATACTTTACTGCTGCGATGCATCTGTTGAGTACAGGGCAAGCATATTATTGCGTGTGTAAATTTTTTTTTAGACAAGTAGAACATATGTAATGATGCCCAATCTTTTGTGATTACCACACATGGTTTCTCTGGGAATCAAATAAAGGATACGAAATATATTGTCTACGCTACATTCACCATTAAGCAAGCAACTCAGTTGACGCGGCGACCCACAATGCTCCGAGCAACAATGACCCATGCATTAGACTGGCCACGATTCTGTATTGAAAATGAAATTTGTGTCAAAAAAGCAATATACCAAAACATAATATTATTCTAAGATTCTCGGCCGAGCACGGGAGAACGTCACGTCACCTAGAATAATGAATCGGTCAATGAGTATCTGTAAGAAGAATTTTTTAAATCAAATTTACTTTCTCTATTTAGTTCTCATGTCAGGCACTAAAATGAATTATTTAGGTATTCCACGTCGTAGCACATTCCAAACACGATTTCGAATACACTTTGACTGAACTCTCCGAGCGACGATATTGTACATTTCTTCCTTAAAAGCTACTTTTATTTGTAGTAATTCTGGTTTGTTTCTTGCTGATCTATAGTATCTACAAAATGCCTCATCATCATCTTCAATAGCTATACAGGCCTTTAAGTAGGTATATTTCGCCATCGCAATCTATTTCGTGCTATTTGCGTCCAACTTCGAACCCCTTCGTATCGAGGTCCTTGACAACTCCATCCCACTAACGCCTCGGTCTACCGCAGTGTTTTCCAACCTTTTCTGTGCCATGCCCCACCTTAGCCTACCTAAACTTCTTATGCCCTCCTTTGTAATATATTTAAAAATTGAATTGTTCACTTAAGAAATTTAAATGATAGGGTTTAGGAAATACTAGGAAACTCAAGTCTCCACGTTGTCTTATATCCATCTGCTTTCGATTGCCTCCTTACCAATCCAATTTCCTCCTTGTGGGGCGTGGGTTCCACGTTGGGAAACACTAGTCTATCGGATTTTCTCTTGCGACCAGGTTGTAAGTTCGGTAAGGTAAAGGTTCTGTCATCCGCCATTCTGAGCACAAGTGCCAACCACTTGAGCCTGTGCATTTTATGAATTGGACGATGTTGGCATCGTCAAGGATGTTATAAAGTTCTTCATTGTAGCAAATACGCCAAACACCTCGTCGCAAACAGGGCTCATTCTTCGAAGTATCACTAAATGTCTTATAAACACGGAGAGAACGTAAAATACCTATCAAAACAGTAGCTTTTTTATGAAATTGTAAACGCTCCATGTAAAATTGTATAGCAATTTTAGAGTCACCAACGACTTAACTTTCTTCACAATATTGAACACAGACATACATTTCGTTACCGATTTTCTGTCTCAAAAACTCAGTGTTATTGCGCTGATTTTACTAATGTACTCTTGCCGACAAATAGTATTTACGCTATATTTAAATGAGAACAGCGCGTTTGTTAAATTGGCATATAAGGTGTAAGCTGTATCATGGTATTATTTAATTAAACGGTATAATTTTAATAGATTTTTTCATTATGTAAATGTTTGAACCTTTTGGTAAATATTATGTATTCCAACTTTGGCTTTATTTTTAGAAGGATTTCAAAATAAATAAATACCTATGATAGGACACACATTCGAATAGCATTCGTACAGTGAACTATAAAAGTTGTATTGAACCCCATCCGAACTATGACAAACATACACTATCGTCATAAAGTTTGTGCTTGAGGACAGTATGTTATATGATTACTGAGGATTGTCAGCCGATTAAAACACAAATATAATATCGTTTATTATTTATTGCTTCGTTCTAAATTAAAAACAATTCGTTGAAACATTTGCATAAACAATATGTAAGGTTGGCCAACGCTCACGGCCGTACACAAATATACACAAAATACTTATACACAATCTAAAATAAAATAATACCATTACAAAATACAGAAATTATCAAATATTAACATATAAATATATCTCAAAAACAATATAATATAGACTACGTTACATACATTGTATAAATACTGTTTATTGTCAATTTTAAAATACACGTTCGGGCCTTCCTAATTATAAGGAAATTTTCTGGTCATAGTTTAATAAAAATTCTATATTATATACAAAACATAAATAATTAAAGAAACGTCAAATAAACTTTAGGCTTCAAGAGCGCGAAGATGGCAATAACTTATGTCAGATCAAATTAATGTTAACTTAACAACTAAAAGTAAAAACCTATTCTATTGTAAATTGAACTGTTTTGTGCATATTGTAGTTAAACATTTTCTATGGTAACTATTTTATCAGATTGCCAGTTTCATTTTCACATTGTTCTAGGAAAAGCCGCTACTTAGCACCGTGTAAACAAATTGAATACGACGTTTGACTGGCAACATTTTGAACTATTGCACATTCAGCTCTGTGCCGAAAACTTAAATAACCATTGCCAAGCTCTGAATAAGCGACAAGCGTAAACTCGAATTAAAACTGTACAAAAACTTAACTAACTGTGCTCAAATATAAAATCGTAAGCCTCTTGTTAAATATATCATTGAGATCGCAACTTCAACTTCTGTTTTCACCACGATGGCCAACAGCAGTATCGATTCAACAAAACATAATCATATAAAACGCCGTTCGTTACTTATATGAAGAACAAGCATTTTCCTTTACAAAACTTTAGGAGTGCCGTAGTGGGCGTGTCTCGCTTATATCTGTAAATTACTCAAAACGGGTAATATGCTACCGTCAAATAGTACTTGCGTGAACCAAAGACAAAGATATAAATTGTTAACTGTTGCGCAAACGACAACAAACAATAATAATGGTAGAATTAAAAAATTTTATCGTCGATATATCGAAAAAACGCAATCGTGCTAAACAAATTATCTCTTAGACTAAATATATCATTTCTATTGCTTTAAATTTCAAAATAATTGTATTTATTGCATAGTTTATTTCGTTGAATAAAGAGCACTTTTTATTGCTTTATATCAGAAAAATATCTATGGAGATAATTTAAAAATAAATATATTTTAATCCAAATAACTATTTAGCAAAGAATGGTCCACAAAATTATTGATGGTTAATAAATCTTAATTAATAGTTGAAAGATCGACAAACTATTCCTTACTAAGTCAGATTATGTTAAAAATCTACAAAAAGAAATATATGTGTCTTATTATATGAACCAGTATACTGCTCAAAACAAAACCTTACAAAAAGTTCTCATAACAAAGTTGTTTTCAGTTTAAACGTATACGTCACGACGTACGCGCCGACGTATGCGTGCGTTTTACTAACTTAATATGGAATAGTTTCAATTGATAAGACTGATTTAGTAGTATTGTAATTACTAAAGATAGTTGAGGAAACAATAGCTTTAGCTTGTAAATCTATATTTTACGCATCACTAACATGAAAAGTTTCTACCATAACGTGCATAATTGTATAATCTCTGAACTACAGTTATTTCGTTTGCACTTGATTTTTTGACATAATTTAAAATCATATCATATTTTAGGAAAGACGTAATATCTAAATCGGTTTTTGTGATGTCTATTGTCTATGTTTAAAAAATTGCAAATAATTTTTAAATTCTTAAACGGTATCAAAGTACCTAGGTAAGTAGAATATCTATTAAATGTGCTAATTTCACTGTGCTTACTACGTCTACGTGTATAACTGTATATCGTCAATCGACTAACGAACTGTCACAATTTTTCATTAAATTTTTGCATTTTACTAAACGTATTACACAAGTTGATACAGATTTGAGTAAAACGCAAAAATGGCATTCCTAAACCTAACAGAGTATACAAACATCTATACAACAAAAGTTGTCTATTGTTCCCTAGATAACTACCACAAATCTAATCTACGCTACGATGCAATTTTGTGTTTTCTGAGATCCAATGTCTTAAATTTTGATCTTTTTGTAATACTTCCGATTTTGTAGTAGTCATTGTTTTAAGGTTTTTTATGTCGAGACTAGGACGAGTTTTATTTCAATGATGTCATATTTAAACAAGGGAATTTCATCATGCTACTAATATAATTGAAAACCACTATCGAAAAATCGAAAATTCCCATTTTAATTAAATAAGAGACCGCTAAGTGATTGGACTAACTATAATAATCCAAATCTTTAAAATGTTAATTTTAACTTTTATTTCTACGATCTACGCGATTTCTACTACAGATAAAAAGATTAAACATCTTTTCACGATACCATTAAGTTTTAAGAGAAAATATTCTATTTGCTCTTTCTTTCCTAATAACTGCGTCCCTTTCACTCATTAGTGATGGATCGCTTTTAAATTCAAACCGACTCAACAATACACGTTGATATACATTGTAAAATGCACTTTAACTTGAACGTCACAAAGACGCCAACTCAGTGGTATAGACTTACTGCTACGAAAGCGCCTCTGAAGGACCGCTAATGTCTAATTCGGCTCTTAGTTCCAATAAATAGAAAGATAAATAAACAAGGACGGGTATATATAGGTTAGCACCTACGTTGCTACGTTTAGACCAATATGAACACGTTTGTACAGTTACCGTATAAATTAAAAAACACAACAGAACACAGCACCAAGAATTGAGAAAAGTCAAGAAAAATACATTATCATATCTAATCACTGTCTGAAATAAATTGTAACTCGACCTGAATTGCCAATCGCACAAGATATAATAGAAAATCCGTGATAAACATACCAAAATGCTGTATACTTCGCTTCCGTTAGGTTAGATTTAATAAGATTTCCATAATCCCTTAATAGCCTTTAATTTGGGTGACTTTTTCGTCGCCTCCAGCTCCTGCTTGAAACTGATCATAAACTTCTCCCTCAAACTGAGTCGAGGCGACGACGGTTTAAGTAAGAACTTCTTCAGATCATTTGTGAAACTCTTCGCCGTGTAATTCGGTTCGTCTTTCATCGACTCCTCGTTACTGGACTCCAAGAACGACACCGATTTATTCGATTGAATCGAATTCTTTCTCTCCTTGAATTTGCTCGGGGTCGACCTCGATCGAGAGCTAGTGGTTCTGCTCGACGGGAAGCTGTAACTTTTTGAAACGAACGAATATTCGTCGTCGTAAGAGTCGAGCGTGTCCGTCGACCGATTGCAGATTTTGCAGCAGAATCTGCAATGTTGCCGGGCGCTGTGATACCTCCCGTTACACAGAACGTAGTTCTCTTCGCCTCTTTTTCTCTCTTTCTGTCTCTTTTCTCTATACCTTTTCGTATTGTCGACCTTCTTGGATCTTCGGCGACATTTCGGGCAGTTATTTCTTGCGATTTGACGTAACTCTTTGAGGAATTCGTAGTCGATCTCGAAATACTTCGCGTCCGGTTCCGAATAGTACCTGACGTCGTCGTCTTTCGTTTTCTTTTTGATTTCCGTCTGCGGTTTTTCCGGGTCCGAGTGGTATTGTTCAATATGTTTGTCGATCTGTTTGCGTTTGTCCGTGCGTTTGCGTCTCTCGTGATTGTAGTGGGCGCAGAATGTGACAGACTTCTGAGGAGTGGGGGGCAAGGGTCAGGCCTGTGCGGAGGGCACCCAGAGGGTTTTGTTCTGTTCCTCTTCGACGGCTTCTTTGATTTGAGTGCACATGTATGCGATATTTACTCCAGCCGGGATCTCCGCTGTAAAATAATATTACATCGTTATAGCGCAATTCTTATTCAGAAGTTAAAAATAAAAATACTAACTTAAAATAATCTAACTTGAACTATTTAATTCTGTAATGATGCGAAGATCGTCTTCTGCTTCATTCATTATTTCTTTCAAAAACGTGATAATTTGAGGTTATATGCTAAGTGTCAACAGTAAAAGTCTAACGCACACTAAACACTGAGAAGAGAGAAGTGAAAGCGTCTGTCCGTAATAGCCGTTTTTATAAGCTGCTGGTCAGAGAGCGTGAGAGAAAGAGAAGCTAGACAGACTGGCGCCATAACGCGTTTACGTAACGAAGCGGTTTACCCTCCCATAAGAAGTTATCACTTCAATAGGGTTAATTTGATTATACATTTTCTATGCATTAACTAACTATTATTATTCAATATTTAGTTAAAAAATGTTTTGGTGGTATCTCATAACTGATCCGATGGCCACGGTCAAAAGATAGGGTAAAGATAGACCCTTGCTTACATCTTAAAAATATACCTTATCATACCTGAAATAAAATTCCTGAACTCATTCTCCAACTTAAGCCCGTGCTCGTACATTTCTTTCGCAGCCTTCGCCGATACTTTGTCTGCTGGATAGCGGGTGTCTTTCACTTCCTTTATTTGTTTGAACGATTTAAACTTGATAAATAGCACAATCGGGTATATCTGGTGCTTGTGAAGCTTTTCGATTATGGCCACTGAGACGTCGATTATACAGTGGATGCCCTGAAAAATAATTATCACTCTTATTAACACTAATTATAAAGAAATCGTGTTCCATGCGTGAGGCACGGTTTATGTGCCAGAATAAAAAACTAAATTCTGTTTTGAATTGATCACTGCCTTTCTTAATAAAAAAAACCTAGGATTTCACGTCACTGGTCGTATTCTAGAACATTTATACTTAAATCTAATCTGTCAATTTGTTCCACTAGCAGTTTGACGTTTGCCAATGCTCAATGGAATCTCGGGTCGAAATCGGGTCTTAAACATGTACAGGCAATTTGTAACTAGACAAAGATGTTGATGTATTAAATATTTATTTAATTATAGCGTGTTGGGTATACGAAAAATAGTCACAAAACATACTTTTTTATTGAATTTACTCTTCTATTGAAAAAATGGTGGACTAATATTGACGATAATATCTAGATATATCTGTAGTACCAACTTTTCTTTGTTTGAAAGATTGTAATGCATGAAGGTGATTAATTCGCTGCAAATGGCAAAGTGCGTAAAAGCCTAAGCTTCGGGTTTTTGACTCTATTATTACAAAATAGTAATGCAATATCTAGTTGTCCGTTACCTTATCCGCACGATCTCGTAACGTACGCGGCTCCGGCCTTACACGTACAAACACGTGAGGCCAGTCCGTCACCAATTTTCCCGCTACGATCTCTCTAAGCGGTCCTAACACTGCAACTGGACGGCGACTACCGTCTGAAAAGGGAATAATTGGTTATTAGAAAATATTTATGCGATAGATAACAGAGCGTTTACACTTAGTCACAGATGAGTAAGTTTTTAGAAAGAGATTCTAAGAAAAATATGTTATGTAATCAAAGAAAACCTGTACTAACAATGCAACCTCTCAACCCTCTGATAAGACAGAGGCGGTACATCATCAGCGAGGGTCCCAGAGTCACTCCAGCATCCCAGCTCCGTATTAGAAAAGGAAGCTAACTCCTTGCTGTCTCGGTGTTTCTTTCGCCTGAAGAAAGATCTTCTCGCCGTGCTTGACGCGCGTCTTTGGGCATCGGCGTCTAACGTACCCATCGATCTTCGAAGGATTTCTTCAACTCTGAAAGAATTATTCGATATGATACAGTACGGTTAATAACTTTTTGGGCACGTATATAAAAAAGATGGGGCCTCTTTCTTAAATGGATAAAAAATGTCGCCTTATTCTGGTTTTAGTTAATTAATGTTAGATTTATTAAAAAATAATTTTTCTTATGAACAAAACCTAACAAGTCAGACGGTACTCACTTGAATTTACTCGGTATAGTTCCCCAGTGTCGCTTAACGCCCTTACAATCTAACTGCCAAGCGCGCCACAGACCCGGAGCTCCATTGAACAATGTATTATCCACGAACAGGACTTCGTCTTTTCGGAACCATAATGAATATTCGTCTATCGTATCCATTCCTATGGAAGTAATTTTGGCACAACGATCGAAACCAGCCCGAATGTAAAATGCATCGCCCGGCTTGTCTTTTATTTCGTGGTACTGTTGGAGATCGTGACGGACTAGTACGCTCACCTAATGGGAATAAAATAAAATTTGGGGTGAGAATTAACTAAATGCTGCAATTAAGGAAAGCTATGTTATACATGATAATATGTTGTTTTTGGCCAGACAGTAAAGACTGACTTCGCCAGTCGCAAAAATAAATAGGCTGCTCAATATCTACTCGCGCACCGCCCACAATTAAAAAAAATGTTAAAGTCACTGGCTTCTGGAACTCTTACGCAGAGTTGCAGATTTCTTTTTTTTAATTTATCTTTACTTAGACATCATGAAACATTACGATCTAGGCTTACTACTAATAAGTAATTTAAGTCTAACCTCATTTACTAATAATGAGTTGTAGATGATACTGAGACCTAACATGTAGTTACACACTCATACACATCACACACACTCACTCATTGTAATTAAAAAAAAAGGAATTATTAATTTGTTATGGCATATGGAAATATATTAAAACAGATTACCTTATCAGCAGGCTTTGCGAGTTCTAAAGCGGCTTGCTCGGCCGTAGCCCTCCTTAGGTCAACGTTGTTATACTCCAATATCTGGTCTCCCGTACGTAGACCTGCTATGTACGCCGGAGAGTCTATTTGAACACTATGTACAAAAATCCCGACAGCATTTCCCCCAACCAAACTTATGCCCAGGTCTGAACAGTTCCTCATCTCTATCAACAAAAACCTCGGCAAGTCCTTGCCTTGCGATTGCCTCAGCGTGGAAGCGTCAGTCGACGGGACGTCCATCCTCAAGGACTGTTGAGGACCAGGAGAATTTCTGGGAGTAGGCGATCCGGAGAGTGAAACCTCTTCGTCGTGAGAACTTTCTCCAGACGACGAGCTGCCGGGGGTTTCCATTTCATCTTTATACTTCTCGGGGCTGAATTGGACAAGCATCGTGATCGAGTTCCCGATTTGCCTCAAAACACTAGCGGCTAAAGTATACGTCGCTGATCGCATATTTATCCCACAAACTTCAAGTAATTGGTCACCCACTTGTAAACCAACTTGACTAGCCAAGGAATTTTCATTCACCGTCGACACGAATACTCCGCCACTACTCGGAGGGCAGTAGATCTGAATACCGAGCGGCTGCTGGCTTTTATCTATGTGTACCCTTCGTAGTTCACCAGGTAACGGCTTGTTCCAGCTGAGTCCACAGTATTCGGGCATCGAATTTCTCGTTTTGTGGGCTAACTGCTTAACACCGTGTCCGGGACTTAAAACTTCGACATGAAATGTCGGCATGGGAGAATTTCTCTCTGAACTCCTTTCGATAGAACCCGTACTAAGTTTCCCGGCGGAGTTCTTGGATGTCACACTGGGGTTGGATGGGATTCGAAACCTCTGATTTTCCTTTTTCCTGGGAAACGTCCCGCCTTCGTACGTCTGCTGATATTCTCTGTTCACTCTAGGCACGGGGTTCAAGTCCGACATATTGTGCGTGTGTGAGGTGAACGAATGCATATCGTAACTGGTTCCTATGCTCTCTCCAGACTGGCTCTGAGGGATGTTTGTGGGGCTGGACAGATGCGTGTATCTGCTAGAGTTGTGTGGATTGGAGTTGGTGAACGGTCCTCTGTAATATTGCGATTGCAATCTCGTCTGTGAAGGTAGAGTCCCTGTCATGGGAAAGTTTGCATTGCTGGTCAAACTATCAGGACCGAAACTATCGCTGTCAGAGGGGTACTTGTTCACAGTTTTGGGCGAGGAAGACTTTTTTGATGAATAATACTGGTCGAGAATATCTTTGCCCGTGTGATTTTTGATAGAGTGCTCTAAAGAACTCGGGGATTTTCGAGAAACGAAATCGAGAGAACTGGGTCCCTTGTTGACCATGAAATCTAAAGAATGTGGGCTTTTTGTTCTGTTTCTTATAGTAGGTTGGTAGTCCAAGGAATCATCGGAAGGGTTGAGAACTAGGCTTAGTCTGTTCGGCGTGACATCATGTTCGTAGTCACTTATGGATATTTTGTCTCTTTCCTTTTCCAACGTTCGACTCTTTTCAAAGTTAATATTGTTAGGGGAAGCGAAAGGGTTGTGTATGGCTAGTGGCGCTGGTTTTGGAAAATGTTCGATGGCTGGGCTAGATTCGATGGATTTATACACTGAATGCCTAGCCGGTGTCGTCGCTTGAGTTAGAGGCATGTGTCCCAAGGGTATGGGGTTTGAATTTCTATTAGTGTTCGAGCGCTGTGGTTCGGGCGGTAATTTTGTGGGTGGACTGAGTAGAATCGACAGAGGTGGTCTCTCTTTTCTGGAACGGGGTTGGACTATAGTCCCGGTCGCGTTATCTTCAAGGATAAAATTAGCTCGGGCTTTGGGCCAGGTGCCGCCGTTTTTGGCGTCGTTTTGTGATTCTTTATTTTTTCTTCGTGAACGTTTTAACACGCTACTCGTTTCTTTTACTGAAAAAGAAATATAATTAATAACTTTATGTTAGAATAATTAATATTAAATCATTTTAATCAATAAACAAACTCACTTGTTTTGCCATGATAGCTGTCGATAACAGAGTCTAACTCTGCGATTGCATCAGATTCCGGAACCTAGAATTGATTAATACAAATTATGAATATAGGTATTTTGATATATATTGGAATTAAAAAAGTGAGAAATTTGTATTCGTGATGAAGAATATTTAAAATTATAAAGACTAAAATACCCACCTTGTTCTGTTTATCCTTAGATTTGCTTCGCCCGGTAACTGCCTCAATTTTGCCTCGGATCATGTCCCACGTCCCTGAAACACGATCACAACCGATAACGATGCCAGCGACACACATGTGCACTTTGAGAGCCGTTATCGTTTAGCAAATTATGTGATAACTTTTATAGACCTATTAGGGTTGCATTCAAATAGATAAACAACTTTTATATAAAACAAAGTCGTTTGTTCGTACACTTATAACTCCAGAACGGCTGGACAGATTTGCATGGTTTTGAAATTGATTTGTTGAATTCTTCTCCGCCTCGAATAGCTGAATAACTATTAACAAAATTGGAAAATAAACGAGAAATAAAATAAGAGATAAAATGCTCATGTTTATCCTGTCCATACGGTGAACTCTCCTCACAAATTAAAGAACATATTAATATTCAAAAACGTTTCGAATCGACAAAATATATTCACAATATTTGGATAACGACGTATTATAGAATAATGTCATTAATGAAAAAGGATTTACAGCCATATTGTTTATCAAAGGTGCGTGCGTTGACTTAGAGAGAATAATGTTAACTAAAGAAAATATTACAAGCTACTTAAATATACAAAAAATCAAGGAACACTAAGAATTGCAATTCGGTGTTAGTGGTGAACTGAATATTTGTTTTGCATTCATTGTTAGGTACGAAGTTCGCCGGTAATATAAAACTTCGGTGACTCTGACAATTATGTTTTTGATAGAATAATAATATTAAACATAATTTTTGTTTCCTTGCTATAACACATATCATTATAAAGAATTTTAAGTGATCGACTAATACGAATCTTTCCTAAGAAACAAAGGCTCTTAATACAATTAGATTTGGACAAATTTAAAATCTCTATTATAAATAGGTTTCACATCCGTTAGAAAATATTTTCTTAATTTTTTAAGTAGAAACAATTTAGTAGAATAAGTTAGTCTTTAATTATTGTTTGGCATGCAAGCTGTAAATATGTTCAATAAATGATTGCCTTATCTTCATTCGCTATAACTGAGTTACTTTAGTTAGTTAATAGGAGGGAAATAATTTGTTATAAATTATTTCCTTTCATTTTCTTTATTAAAATGTAAAGACTTTAATATCTATGTGGGAGCAATGGCGCTGGTATCAGCTATCGGCATAATTTAATAACAACAGAGTAAAATTAGTTCAAACCTGTTCTGTGGTTTATTGGGAAATCATTCCAATCTTAAAAGATCTATTATATAACATTGGGAAATCAATTTTATCTTATCGATCAATATCTTTGAGGAAGGGCTATTGAACATATTAAAAAAAATATATAAGATTGTCGAATGATTAATGTGAGTGAATAAATGTATGCAAAAATAGCAAATATGCAAGTGCACTAAATGTACGACAGCCGTAATCGATAGAAATTACAATCTTATCAGAGATCGATAGGATATCACTCAAGTGCGATCGAATGTTATGGTATATTTGTTTGATATCGCAATAATATTTACTGACCAGTTAAGAAAATATAATTGAAATACAGTTTATTGAAACTGGGCTTTTAGAACTTGCCCCCAAAATAGAAGTATCCCAAGTCGTACATTTTTAAAAAATTATAGGTTTCTAATAAGAGCTAATCACTATGTCAGTCAAGTGCGATTACACTGTTAAAATGTCTAAAATTAGCTACAAAATAATAACAATATTGTACACTTCCTACTATTTAAATTAAATTAATGTCATATTTCTTTTTTGACGTTCATAAGTGTACATTGTGTTACCTATATAAATGCTTTTTGACTTATTTGACATGAATTTATTATTGTTTTAGAATACTTAATAATAAAATAATACCACTTGAAACTTCATGTTAATTTCTTTTTATAAATTTCTATTTATTAAAGAAATTTTATTTAAGTTATAATAAACGCTTTATACAAGCGTTTTATTTCGCAAAAAGTCTCGTGTGCAAATTTTCTCGATTTAAGCTGATCTTTTTTTAATAAATATGACTACAGAGACTTATTAAATATATTACCTCTCTCTTGATGTATCTTCCCCTGACTCGAAGCAGCCACGTGGTATACGTAGCGACGATCGAACTCCGCTACGCACGCGTCGATGTGAACCTGTGAAGTGAAGTAGAGAGAGATGGCTATATTTATGGAGTGGAAAGATAGAGATAGCAAATTCACTTCAAATTATATAGAAATATATTTTTACTACAAATTATATGACTAAATAGGTCTGGTGAAACTTTAGTTTTGTTCTTATAGTAATTGGTTTGTGATAATTAAAAAAATATTAGGAAAGAATATTTGATATTTAATAATTATATAATATAACGTTGCTGTTAGTACCGGTGACCCTAGAGCTGGAGCTTTTCTCGCTCAACGAATAAGTATCGCAATACAGCGAGGATTATTTAGCATTATTTTTTTTAAATTATTATTATTATTACTATTAAGGTTAAGAAAATTGTAAATACTGTATATTTGATTGTAATTTTCAGGTTTTGATAAAAAATAAAAGTAGAAATTACCTTTGGTTCAGGTGGCGGTGGAGTGAACGGCGCCCACGCATCGTCCGAAGATTTCCCATCTCCGTATGATGGCTCGTACAATGACGACCTACAAAATAAATATATAATTACAGATTTCGTGCTCTATAAATTAAAAACCCTTTCATTGGAACAAACAACAACATTTTAATATCACTGATTAATAACATTAGTCCATAACATAGTAAAAATACTTTGCACAGAATTTATATTAACAATTAAAAACATTCGAACCTCCATAAAGACTTCATGAAGATAAACTGAAGTTTGCAACTTGCTTGAAGAGAAATTCCAAAAGCAATCAATAGGCGACGGAAGTCGAGATCAAACTGAATTTGTTGACAAATATTCTCGACTATGCAAAAAATGCAACGCGTTTTGTAAACATTACACAAAACAAGTGAATTCCATCAAAGTTCTAATCGTCCCAAGCCCCATCCATACCTGTGTCTCGTATCGTGACAGTGCGCAGGCCGTAACGAAGTCATCAACACACAATCGTACTGACATTCGTGTAGGAGCCACAACGCCTCGTTGGCGTTCTTCACGCCGTCCAACGATCGGTTGTTTATCTGAATTCAAATTATCACTTACTCTTCTAACTTTACAACAACAATTGAATATGGAAATTATATTATATTAATATTTAATTCAAAAAGTTTAAAAGTAACTATTTTTCGGTTCTGACACTTTTTGACGTGACAACGTCTAATAAATCGATGAACGCAGGAAAAAGATTGTCTCATTGTACGCTTGCGCCGCAGAGAGAGAGAGAGAGATAGACACTCTTCCTCTCGATTGGCCTATGCGTTCAAGAATTCACTCCTTTGAGTCCGAGAATTCACTCCTTTGAATCCATTTAAAATAGTGATAATTAAAAAAAAAAGTATTCAATTTTACTCAAAAAAGTATGCAATCATATCATCAACTATCGTCCATTAACCGACTTTACAGACAACTATTTTTATACTAACTTTTGCTGTTGTTAATAAAAAATATTTTGAAAAAAAAATTAGTTTGGAGTTTATGTAAAAACTTACCCCGACAATCCGATCTCCGACATAAATGTTGCCAGCTTTAGCAGCGTTAGCATTCGCCATTTTGCTTATAAACAGACCTGAAACGATAAAAATATTACTCTATTTTCCCACACTTGATGACAAAAGATATTTCTCCACATTAATTTTTGGAACGAAGTTCCTTATTGCGCGTTGCTAAAGGATGGAACGAAATGAAGACTAAAAGTTGTAACGACACTTTTTGGTATAGTTGTAAGCCGTGCGGCGTGCGCGTGTTTCTCTGTCTGTCTCTCTCTCTCTCTCTCTCTCTCTCTCATAGAAAGCAAGCCAGTTAGTTTTGTTTCGTCTTTCTATTTCGCATGAACAGTGTGGTGTCGGGACGATTATTTTTGTTGAGTGTATACAGGTTTTTTGTACATAATACTAACATCGATGCAGTTTTTTCAAGACATTTAAATAAAATAGAATCCCAAACATATGTTTCCTACTTCAGTAACCACAAGGCAATTATTACTAAAATTGAGCCTACTGATAAAGTTTATATTACATTATATTTGTTAATAATAAAAAAAATATTATTATAAATTAAAAAAATAAAATTTTATTACTATTCTTTCACTAATTAACCGAAAGGAACTTCGTTCCATCCGGGTGTCCCTTGACACCTCTCAAGTTTTTATTTCAAGCCTTTTACCTGAAGAGACAGGCAGAGACCACGGATCTCCACTTACTACGCTCCTGACATACCTCTCCCACTTAAGTCACTTTGATAACATTCACCATGCATGGCCGTCTGTTATGGGTACTTTTCACTTATACCGTGGTACTAGAGACGGTAACACAAGACTGACTTCACCATCCAAGGTTGCCTTGAATGACCTCCCTTGCATCCCTTTCGTATCCTTGTCATTACGTGCTCTTTTAACCCATACAGCTCACGTATCTCACTATTAATTATCCAATCACGTTGTTACACCACACATACTTCTAAACGCTCTCATTTCCACGACATTTATTCTACACTCATACTTTTCTGCCACATCCAAAGACCTTTTCTCCTTTTTACTTAACATTATATTATTTTAAAGGAAAATACACCTTACGCCCATAGATTTAAGACGTAACTGCGTTTTTAATATATAATCACTTTCTTAAAAGAAACTCTGCAAAAGCTTTTGCTACCGATTAGTTCACAACAATAGAGATACACACCTTGATGTATAGTAAGCGTGGCCGTGTTTCCCCTTGCGCGTTGGATCCTCAAAGCCACAGGTCCCCTCATCAAGGCGGCCCTAATCGCCGCCCTACAGGCCGCTCCACGCGCCCAATTCGAGACCCCACAGGCCTCTGTTACACGATCAAGGACCCTATATTCAGAATAATAAGAATTCAGAAAACGTTCCTGAAGGCGAACAAAAAGACCTTTTGTGTTTTTGAGGTACGTACGCGTGTACGTTTTAATCAAACATTGAAATTTGTATTAATTATGTAACAAAAGCAAACATTTCGTTAATATTGTTTTTGTTTTGTTGTATGTTAAGTTATTTCATTATAAAAAAATAAGTTGATATGTAAGTAAAGTACTCTTAATTTCGGCTAAATTTTAAAATGTCATTGAACCTAATTTAATTGATATCAAATAATAGTAGATTAGCATACCGAAGTTTCCCATCAGCGACGGAGCCAGGCGCCACACTGGCCACGTAGAGGGCGTGGTCCCCTGGGAAGGCGGGCTGCTCCCTCCCCCCGCACAGCTCCAACCCCCCTCCCGCCTCTAGCTCCCCGCAGAGCTCGATCTCCATCGTTTCCCACTCCAAGTCCTACATTATGGTAATGACAAAAGAACGATAAATAGCACCATTACACTCCAGCTGTGGATACATATTTTTGCCTTCTTAATAATTTAAATTTTCTTATTAATTTTTTAGCTCTTTTGTGTACGTATATGTGTAATCCATTTTTGGCTATATTATTATTGTTTGTATATATTATTCAAGTTAGCTGTAATAATACAAAAGCCTATAAATATTTTTCTGAACTTTAGTCCTACAGAGAGACGGATGCCTTTATGACCTCATTTATTCCTCTTTGCTGTCTGTATCTTCTTCCTTATATTATTGTATGTTAAAATATTTATAGTTTGTTGGGCCTTTCTACCGAAACACTGTTTTAAACCAGTACGGAGAGAACCGTCACATTACTAATATTTGTAATTTTGGTTAATATAATTATTAATTCTTATTCCTCTACGTTTTTTATTGAGCGTCACACCCATAATTAAAATATAAACGCACCAAGTGAAGCAAAAGTTGACTTATAAGTAAATATTTATTTATTATTTGTCTGTAGTCTGTGGTGACTCGAACCAGCTTACACAGAATACTTACATTAGAGAGAGAATATAAATTAATTACATCAGTTTTGTTAGAAAAAAAATCTTACAGTTTCGGTTAACGCTAATCTTCATATATTTATTTAACTGTATAAATTGAATTAAGACTTTTTTTAAATATAAACCAAGTATTTAAATGAATCAGCCATACCCAAACAACTTTTACAAACACAAAAGTTATATTCATTTCGTTTTACCTGAAATTCCCTCGCTTCGCTAGAGTTCCCCAACCGAGGATCGTGTTTCCTCGACTTCCCCTCTCTCCCCTCAGACTTCCCGTGACGTCTGGCTTCAGCCAACTCGCCGACCATTTGGTCTCGTTCCTTTAAAAAATGTAAGCGTTAAAAAAACGGTATTTATTTTAATTTCCAAAATCAGAACTTTGTTTAAAACAATATTTTTTTTGGGAACTAACCTTTCTCAGTCTATTGCACAACGCTTTTACGCTTTCTCTCTCTTGTAGCAGCTTATCTCTTTCAGAAAAGGCCCAGTCTCTTCTTCGTTTTGAGACCTATTAAAAACTCAACTTATTAACTATTGAATAATGACATAAAATTGGTCCAACATTCTGCATACTTTTTTTTCATAATTTTGACATCATTAAGGTAATTCTGTAAAAAACTTGGATTTCGACTTGAACTTAAAACTTTAAAAATTACTTTGACCAATCAGAGCACTGCAAGCGATCTCGATGTCTAAGAGTGAGATTCAGAAAAGAGACAGCGCGAACCATAACTTCTGAATGTCAAAACATTTTTTGACTCACGGTAGTTAACTCACAATGATCTAAATGTCACCGGATTATTCAATGTTACGGAATACACGTATTCGTCATCATTTAATCTTGCGTTTCGAGATTATTGCCATGTCGATGATGAAACAATGTTTAATAATAATTAATACGTCAATAAAAGGCAAGGTCGGATTATAGACTGATTTAATAATATTTTGTTTTTACTTTATAAGTTTATAAGATATGTTATTAATATTTATTATTGCAGGTAAGCGATGGATGATAATGAAATGAGCTCACCTCGGCCTCTCGTGTAGCATCGTTAAAGTCCGCTTGCAGCCTGTCGACATGTTTGCGGAGTCTCTCTATCTCTTGGTTCGCCTGCTCCAAGTTGTCCACTCGCTCCTTATCGGCTGCGTCCACTACCATACCCACTAAACCTGACATTTGAAACCCTTACTCAATTTGGATTAAGGTAATTCTAACCTAAGACTACGAAATAAATAAATAAATACATAAAGTGTGTTTAAATATCTAAATTGTGGGAATTAATAATTACTATTAGATTTTTTTCCTTACGCTTAGCGCACATCCCTTCATAAGTAGTAGAATTAAGGGCTACCATTTTTAAATTGATGTGTATTCCAAAAAAAAAGTAGCCTCCAACAACACTTCACATACTGCCACACGTACGTGTTACCTGCGCGCACGCACACATACGCACGGATCAGACTAGACATGTTGAATGTACATATGATTTATTTATATCAAGTTAACTATATAATATGCTATATATTTAAGTGGTTTAAGTGTATTAAGCTTACTATTGAAGAAAGAAAACAAAGAAAATGGAAAAACAGGTAGTGCTAAAAATTCGACCATAATTCGTTAATTAAAGTTTGTACTAAGACAAAAGAACCCTGATCAATTGCAAATGTAAACAATGGGTAATTATGAAAGTCATATCAATATGTCATTAAAGCAGTAGAGCAATGATTATTAAAATTAATTTACTACACCGTATTCACATTAATTCCCAAAATATCTCAACGCTATCCTCTCCATACCTTGCAACTTATCCATAGACGGATTGTTGGAGTGTTGCCCGTTAAGGAAGCCATCGGTGCCTACCCCAGTGGACAGACCCAGGTGATGGTACGCAGTGTTGTCTTGGCTGCAATGACAAAAGTTTTATCTACAAGTTATACTTGATATTTACCGTTTCCTCAAAACTATTTAGAAATTGTATATTTCCTTACTAGGGCTGCCTGGAAGAGAAGGACACCCCTACTCCCTAATAATGTATGTTAGCTGTTTTTATATACACATATAATGTAAAATGTTTATAAATAAACTAGCTGACCGGGCAAACATCGTTTTGCCATGTATATCATTTACAATAAAAAATAGGGGTTGATCGTAGAGGGGTGAAAATTAGGGGTTATATGTATTTTTTAATGCTGTATCATAAAAAAATAAAAATATTTTTTTTTATCTAAAAATAAAAAATAGAAAATTAGGGGTGGACTACCCTTAACATTTAGGGGGATGAAAAATAGATGTTGTCCGATTCTCAGACATACCCAATATGCACACAAAATTTTATGAGAATCGGTCAAGCCGTTTCGGAGGAGTTTAATTACAAACACCGCGACACGAGAACTTTATATATTCGATAAAATAGATATATAGACACTTAAATTTCCTACATAACCCCCACAGCCTTATCAATATCACAATAATATCTTTTTGGTCTGTATTCTGATTCGAATCTCAACTCATAATCTAGTTTTGAACAAATTTGCCAAACTTTATACAAAAGACACGCGTTAGAAGTTATACTTCTATGGCGTGATAATTTCCTTCGAGCACTTTAGAGGGACGTTTCCCTCTTCGAATTGCATTTTTCTTGTCCATATTTATGGTCACTTCCAATCGAAACGATATAATATGTACTAATCATGATATTTTACAATAAACACTATGTTTTTTAACACATCAGAACGAGTTTTCTCGTATAGAAATCATTATTTTGGTTTAAATAAACACGACTCTGAAAAACACTACGCCATGACAGACAATGCAACTTGTCGATAAAACAGAGCAAGCGCCAACTAGCGGCCGAGACTGTTTTACCGACGTTTGAACAGATATGTCGGTTTTTTGTGACGGTGTGCGCGCGCATCGTAAAAATTTACTCTCATCATTTTTCCCTAACGCGCCAAAAGAAGTATAACTTCAAAAATAAGCTCATGAAACTAGATTTATAGATGTTCTATAGTTCAACGGCCTAAGACTCACCGAGACTTTCCCAAAGTGGATGTGTTCTGTGGAGTTTTGAGATCTGTACACTCTTTGATAGCTCGATCGCGGTCCACCAACGCCGACTCTATCTCACGACGCAAACTTTCAGCCTGGAATCAACACATTTTTGAGAAAAAAGAGCCACTTTAATAGGCTGCCACAATAATAAAGGTAATAAATAATAAATAGGTAATAGGTAGGTTATTTTTATTAACTTTAGTAAACAAAAATAACAAAGTGAAATTGTACGAAATAAGACGATACATTCGACTCTAATCCCATAAAAACATTGATACATATAACATACTACAGGTATTTCTGTGTTATAAGTTTTCTCATTTCCCAGGCAAACTTAAAGGAGTGAAAAGTCCCTCTGTGTCAAAGTGAGTGAGAGTGAGAAAGACTAAGAGTGGAGGAAATTTTCTAAATGTAATTATACAATTAAGTAATATATTTTTTTATTTACACTCACGTAACTTGCACTAGCCATTTTCTTAAATATTTAGTTATTGATAATCTAAACTTAGCGCTAAGTGCGACTTTGGAATGTCAAAAACGTATCGGATTTAAACATACAGTCATAGGTAGTCTTATTCCAATATTCTATAATAGAGATTGGGAGAAAAATTCTTAAGATAGAGAGAGATGGAGCCATGAGGGGAGGCCTATACTCTTCACAGTTGAAAAAAATATATAATTATTTCTCTATAAAATTTTAGTTATTTCGACTATGTGTTTGCATGTTGTTCCCACGAGAATCGAAGTGCGTGCTCCTATTTCACCATGCCTCCTGCTTATAGAGGACAAATCTTTGTTTTTAATTTATTTTATTATTATTTATTACTTAACATGAGATGTGGAACAATACTGTTTCGCTATCATATTTTATAGAGATGACAGCCAAGAATTTGGCTAGACCCCTTGCTTCTATTGAGCAAGCATTAGATTATAAGACCTTGGAAGAAATTCCAAATAATATTTATTTAAATTAGATAATAGGACAACAGAGCACCACTCTTGCAATAATAAGGTAAGTATATTATGTGATAAAATTCATTCCCAAAAAATTATTGTGGTTCATCAAAATATACAGGGGATGAAAAATAAAGAATTAGAAATTGAACTATTCTTGAATAGTCAAAAAATAGACTTTTTGTGCATAACAGAGCACTGGTTAAAAAAATATGAAGTTTTGTTTAATTTTTGTAACCACAGGGTTGGTAGTGTGTTTTGCAGAGAAAATGCAATTCATGGTGGCTCATTAATCCTAATAAGTAAAAAACTTAAATGCAAAGAAAGAAAGGATATTATCAGCCTCTCTGTAGAACTAACTATTGAAATCTCCTGTGTGGAACTGGAGCAATTCATTGTTGTATGTCTATATTGTCCTCCATCAGCTGTCTATAATAATGTTGAAAATGTATTAGAGGAGATATTGTGTAAATTAGTAAAGTGTAATAAAGGGCTAATTGTGTGTGGGGACTTTAATGTCAATTTACTTTGTCATTCTAATTCAAGTGTACGCATACTTAGTCTTTTTCGTTCATACAATTTAATAAATCAATTTCATTCACCCACAAGAATAACAGCTAGCACCGCAACTTGTATAGATAATATATATAGTGACATAGCCCCTTTGAATGTTTGTATTTTCAATAGATTTAAATCTGATCACACTGGTCAATGGTTTGAATTCCAATTAAGGAAACAAAAAACATGTAAAAAGAAGAAAATTGTGATAACTCCTATTACAAATGACCGTTTGGACAGATTTAGAGAAGCATTGGTCTATAGAATGCCATTTCTGTGTGGCAACTCATCCCCTAATAATTTATACAATACTTTTTTTGGATCATTTATTGATGAATTCAAGAAAGTATTTACTCAAAAGACTTTATTGGTCTCTGAGAAAACAAGTTTCTGTGACTGGGCAAATGAGGAGTTACACAGGAAAAGGTTAAAATTATATGAAATCTATGACGAAATGCAATATAACACTAGTGTGGAATTTAGGGAATATGTTAGGTTGTATTCAAATAATTTCAAAAAAGATTGCAAAACTGCAAAGTCTCAATATTTAAGTTCAAAAATAAAAAATAGCATGGATAAAGTAAAAGCTACCTGGAAAATAATAAATGAAGAATCAGGTAAAACGTCTGACAAACGAACTGATTATATGTTAAAAGTTAAAGGGAAGTTAATAAAATCTGACCCAGAGGTAGCTTCTTCTTTTGAAGAGTTCTTTACAAATGTACCACTAAATACGACCAAGTCCCTAGATTCTTCACCTGCTGCTGCGATCTCATTGCTAGAAAAATGTGTACCTGAATGTAATATTAAATTTCAGTTTAAACATATAACTTGTAATGATATCGTTAAAACTTTTAAGCTTATTAATTTAAAAAAAGTAAAGATATATGGGGTATGTCAACAGTCATTTTAAATTCCGTTATTAATGTAATAAGCTCTGAATTATCTATAATTTTTAACAGATGTATCGATTGTGGAGTCTTTCCGGACGAAATGAAATTAAGTAAGATTACACCGTTGTTCAAGGCCGGTAGTGAGTCTGATCCGTCAAACTTCAGACCTGTTTCCGTGCTCCCTGCGTTGAGCAAAGTTTTTGAAAAGATAATGCTAGACCAGCTTTCTTTACATTTTAATAAAAATAAACTCTTACATAATAAACAGTATGGTTTCACTAAGGGTCGCTCCACAATCGATGCCGGTGTGAAGTTGATTTCGGACATATTTAACGCCTGGGAAGAATCATATGATGGAGTCGGCGTCTTTTGTGACCTGTCAAAGGCCTTTGACTGTGTTCATCCTGATATACTCGTTGGAAAGCTTCAACACTATGGCGTTGATGGCAAAGCTTCCAGCCTGATGAATTCATATTTAAAGGGAAGGATCCAAAGAGTTCATGTCAATGGAGTCACCTCTCCGGGTTCGCAGGTATCAATGGGCGTCCCCCCAAGGATCGATTCTCGGGCCTTTCTTATTTCTGATTTACATAAATGACCTCCCATTCTTTGTCAACGAAGTTCATGAGATGGTATTGTTTGCTGATGACACTTCACTTCTATTTAAAGTGAATAGGAATAACGTATTATTGGACGATGTAAACAATTCTATCTCTCGTATAGTTAACTGGTTTAATGTAAATAACTTATTGCTTAATGAGAATAAAACAAAATGTATTAGATTTACAACTACGAGCGTAAAGCGAGATATTGGTAACCTGAAAATTAAGGACAGTGAACTAAACTTTGTTGACAAAACTGTTTTTCTAGGCATAACAATAGATAGTAAACTCCAATGGGGCCCACACATAGAGACTCTTTCGAATAGGCTGAGCTCTGCAGCATATGCAGTAAAGAAAATCCGACAGTTTACTGATGAGGACACGGCTAAAATTGTGTACCTACTTTCATACCATAGCTACTTTCATAGCGTTATGTCATACGGCATTTTACTGTGGGGTGCTGCTGCAGAGGTTCAATCCATATTTGTGCTGCAGAAGCGGGCTGTTCGGGGTATTTGTTGTGTTTCTCCGAGGGAGTCGGTACGGAATAAGTTTAAGGAATTAAATATTATGACACTATCTGGTCAATATATTCTTGAAGCCTTGTTGTATGTCCAAAAAAATATAAACGATTTTAAAACAAATGGTGACTTTCACCAGTATAATACGCGAAATAGAACTAATTTGAGTGTACGACCAACCAGGCTCCAAAAGATAAACCACTCCTTATATGGAAATTGTATTCGTTTTTACAACAAGGTCCCAAGCGAAATTAGAGAATTATCACTAAATAAATTCAAAGCCCTCGTTAAACGAAAATTAATCAACAAAGCTTTTTATAAATTTGAGGACTACTTAAATGATCCTAATCCTTGGGATTGAATTGCTCCAGTTCAAACAATTTGTATGACAATACTTGGCGATTAAAAAGAGTGGCGGAAAGTTTCTTGCCAGTTCTTCTTACCCGCTCTACGCCCTTGACTTGCGAACTGGTAGTAAATGTAAATTTACGATTAATTTAACTTGACGATTCAAAAGTGTACTTGGTTACCTACTTGAATAAAGATATTTTGAGTTTGAGTTTGAGTTTGAACATTGTGTAATGGTTGCAGCTCCTTACAAACGTTGTGAAAACAAAAAACTTGGCGATTTAAAAGAGGGGCGGAGAGTTTACTGCCAGTTCTTCTCTTCCGTTCTACGCCCCTGATTTGAGAACTAACAAATAGTAAATGTTAAATTAGGAGCATTAAATGTATATTTCTTTTTTGACGTTCATAAGTGTACATTGTGATACCTATATGAATAAATGATGTTGACTTTGACTTTAAGTGTGTATCTTCTGTAAAGATGTATGAATGTTTTAAGATTAAATTTTAAGATTAAATGAGACTTAATTATTATTATTCGTGTAGTAATCACCTGCAGCGCAGTGGCCCTCTGCTCATCCCTGCTGGCCTGCAGAGCGCCCTCTAGCGCCGCGACTCTCTTCAACGCAGCCTGCAGATCATCCGACAGCTTCTCCATCTCCTTGTGCACTGTGTCCCTGAAATACGACCTTCGGCACATCAGACACTTGTACCTTTTATTATACAATAGTTTGATATTTGTTATTATATTGGGTACATTTTACATTTAAGTATTTTTTTTTTTCATTTAAACGGACAGAAGTTTCACCTGATGTTAAGTGATACGATACACCCATGGACACTCGCAAGTGCGTTACCGACCTGTTAATGAAGACGTTTTACATGTCAAAATAGCATTTTACTATATTCTTATTTTTAATTCCGTAGAATTCCGACAGCTATCATTGTTTGACATGTCCGAGATTACAAACCTTTTTGGCCGAGCACATTTTTCAATTTCTAATACATTTTATTTGTTAGTGAATGTATATATTTTATTAAGTGCGATGTTCAGATTAAAGGTGGGTTTACGGCGAGTGTTAATTACGTTCCTTTTCATCACTAACGTTCAATACTCACAAGCAAAGATAACATTTGATTTTTTTCTAAACCTCATTAGTAGGCAGTGATGCCAGCTAAATAATCAAATAAAGTAATTAAAGCTAATTCGATATATTGTTCGTGATATTGAAATATTTGTTATTTTTTTACTAGGTCAATTGAGTAAGTAAATATTTGATTTACCTTTTTGTAGGTAAAACATAAAAAATACGTAGCATTTTATTTTTTATTGCCCTTAAATGGGTCAAATTTGTTCCTTTTTCGGTGGACGTTTTTAGTAGCAACACTAATGAAATATCAGAATTCTACGGAATGAAAAATCAGAGTTTAGATGTTTACATAACTGCATTTTTTTATGTAGTGAAAGTCTAGAAATCATTTTATTGTACAGTCAACATTCAAAATAAATCTTTAGAGAATAAAAGCTTCACCTCTCACTCATTATCAGCGTGTACTCGGCCATCGCAGCGTTGCGCTCGTCCGTGAGGCGCTTCATGTCCGCCCTCTCCCGCACTCCGCCCTCCCATTGGCGGACCACGCTCGACACTTGCTGCTTTAGGGCGTTACGCTCGCGGATCTAATTAAAAGTTGATTAATTATAATAAAGCCACTTCAAAGGAAGCTATACAAATGGAAAGTTCAGTTCTTTACCCAAAAGGGTCCATACTGAAGAACACTACGTAACGGAAATAACAATGTTGACTGTTTCACAATGTATGGATAAAGTACCAAATAGCTATGCAACACATAAATTATTTGGAAGATAAATTGTGCTATTTGACACTTCATCGGACAAATAACTTATGATGGACTTTATGTGACGAATAGCGCTATCTGACAGTCGTGAAACGCAAAAATAGTGTTTATCCTACCAGTAAGTAATAAATAGCTAATTTGGAACTTATGTAGAACTTATCCGTACATTGTAAAACAGACCCTAAGAGTATAATAATAAAACTAACACACATTTGATATATAATTCATTTTATGTGGCTTTAAGGGTAATCAATAACATTAAAAAAAATCTTAAATAGTCTTTCAAAAAAAGTGTGTGTGTGTGTCAGCTACGACGCACGATTGGAATTTACTCCTTACGAACGATAAAATGGCGATAATGTTCTGTGGCTGTCGACCATATTTTCATACTAAAGGTGGTAAGAATATATGTTTTTATAATATAAATGTTTGTAGTAGTAATAAAACGTACCTACATCATCTATGCCCAAATAGGATTTTCTTTCTGTGACCAAAGTTACCTTTATAGTTTTAAGAGAAGAATAAGAATGAACAATCTTTTTAGTTTTAATTTCACTGACCATTACTATTGACAAAACTCTATGGCACGCTAGACAATCTACTTTTATTTTTTACACCTGTCAACACTGACAATGTTGTAACGCGGCTGTCAAAACGTGAATTCAAAATAAAAAAGTCTGTGTAATGTATTCCATCTCATTCTTTTACACGTTCAATCCATTTGTCTCTTTCTACATAACGCCTGAACTTTTCATGTTACACATAACATAACGCCTCAACTTTTCGTGTTACACTTGATTTTACTCCTCATAAAATGTCCGTACCGGGCCTTATAACTCAAATCGTTTCTTAAGGAGTAAACTCCAAAAAACGTATCTACACCTCATATTTAGTTGCTTTACAGGTAAAATACTTCATGTAGATATATATAGCTGTAAAAAAGATATGTAATAAAGTTTAGTTACGTGAAAAAACACAGTACAGTACAACCCTTGGTCGGGCCCTCAGGTCTCTGTTTCTGTTTGGAAATCATTTATTTCCTCTTAATCGACAAGTGATCAGCCTTCTGTAATACACGCTGTCGATTTTCCATCACCGTACGGGTGATATAAATAAACTTTAGGTTGAAAGGCGCACCCTCAAGCCACAATACACATATAATATATAATATAATTTTATGAAGCCTAGAGGTATTTAGCATATAACGGAACTTGAAATTCAAGTTTCCTTACCACAGCATTCCTCTCTTGTGTGAGCTCGTGACACTGCGTCTTCAGTCTGCTGTTGTCTTCTTGGACGCTTCGAAGCTTCTCCAATGTAGCGTTGTGTGTTTCTATGAGATCATCATACCTAAACAGAATGATTATCGGACTGTGAATTCTTAGTCATCTCGAAATGAAACAAAATAATTTCTTTATTATTATTAAATAATTGTATGCACATTGCATTTGCTAGATATTCCAACCGAAAAGTAACATATTTTTTAAAGAACAGGGGGCAAATTGGGCAGGAGGCTCATCTGATGTTAAGTGATATCGCCACACATAGACACTCTCAATGCCGGAGGGCTCGCGAGTGCGGTACCGGCCTTTTAAGAATCTATACGCTCTTATCTTAAGACCCTAAGTCGAACTGGTCGTACATACTTCAGTGGGCAGCTGGTTCCACATAGTGGTGGTAAGCGTCAGAAACTGCCATAAAAAACGCTCAGTTGTGGAACGGCGGACGTCGAAGTCATACGTACCTCTTCTGGAAGCAGTCAAGTTCCTCTTTGAGAGCTTCATATTTCCTTAACGTGTGGACGAGGGCATCGGAACTACCTTCTGAAGTACTGCTTTGCTGCAGGTGCTGAACTTCACGCTCCAATCTGTAAAATGCATATAATATACAACAGTTTTGTAACCAATCCAACACTTTAAGTACAAGAAATATTTCATGATAGTGAGTGCCATACGTTGCAATCCATGAGAATTCAAAGGAGTAACGAACCTAGTTAAGTTCATCATGACATAAGGTGAAATAAAAATTAATAATGGGCAGGAAATTAAAGCTTACCTCTGATTGTCATTAAGCAAGTCTCCATACTTGCCGCGAAGGCTACTTGCCTCCTGAGCTGATACATCCAACTGATTCATTGCAGCCCTATGTTGTCCACGGAAGTACTCTAACTCCTAAAAATTTGATATTTATTCAAAACAATTAATATTTAGCATTCGGCCGAACTTTACAAGCATCTCATAAAGTCCTCTATCAAAACTTATAATTACCTTAAACTAGCAAGCTTTATCCTAACTTTGTGACAAATTTATAAATGATAAATAAACTATTTTTCAACAACTGAATTTTGAATGTCAATTTTAATCAGATATTTTACGAAAATTTTAGATTTTTCTTTTCACCTACAAAATGTGACTTCTGTACAGGTTCTAGCTATGAATACAGTAAAACAACCCAAAATTCTGAAGTTTTAAACAGACAAAATAAATTTTTAGCTCATTGTTTTGAAGGTAAATCTTTTTCAAAGTTCAAACAGTATTGTCGGTGTGAATTATAATTAAGGTAATTCAATATGCTCTGTTTATGTTGCTAAAATTATATAATCTCACCATAAAGATAACTGTTATCTTTACCATAACAATCTATAATGCAACTAAATTAAATTAGACTCACAACTGTGGAACTAATTAAAATTAAAAATAAATATATTTTAAATAAATAAAAAGCACTCACTTTCATAACATGCTCACATCGCCTTGTGGTTTCTGTATGCTGCCGTCGCAATTGATTTAAATCATGTAGGGCTTTCTCACATTGTTGTTTCAAGTTCTCATTTGCCTGTTTGTTAATAACATCATATTGATGTTCATAAGGTGTGGACAGAGTATGGGAATGGGTGTAGTTCTTGTCATAGTTAGAAGTTATGACTTCATAGTCTATGGGTAGAGGTATTGATTGTGCTGTATTGTGCCGCTCATTGCCAGCATAGCTGTGAGATATGGACTCTGTAATGAAATATATCTTCTTAAGATAGTAAGAGTAAATACACTAGCTTCTTTGAGCTACAAATGGTACCTATCAAATCATCATTCATCATATTGATGTCTGTGTATCTATTACTTTATCTTTGTGAGAAATAAATAGTATCTTATCTACTTCTCATATCATATTTTCTAAATCATTGTGAAACAAGAATATTTGTCAAGAGAGATCTAAATTCTTCAGTTTAAGAGAATGGGCTGACATTTTAGTGATATTAGTTTTTTTTTTATATAAGACCAAATTTAATGTGTTCTTCATATTAAAAAGTTAAAAGACAATATAAAATGTTTTTTTTATATATTGCTATTATTAATAAGCGTGATAAGTATGCATAACTAAGATTTATTAAACTTCTTGCTTTAATAATACAGACTCTTATATATTACCTAAATATAGTACAAAGTTTAAGTTGAATAAACATGCTACAATTGCTAATACTAAAGATACCTACCATTACTACCATTGCTTTCCAATGAAGATGCTGCAGAAGCCATAATCTGAAATATGTTCAATGTAAGTTTGATGACAAACTAAAGTGAAATCTATTGAATTACAACTAGCAATTACCTTCACAATCAGTGACTGTAGTCCATTGTCTCCTCAACTACAACAAACAAAAATCATCTTATAAGAAATAACTAGTATAATAAACATATTCACAAATCTAAGGCCCAGAGGATATAAGCTTGACACGATTTTCACGCTCTAATGATGGTTGCAAAACTATGAAACCGCAACCGTGCTAGGTACTTCACTTTTGCACATTATTCTGTTTACACACGATTTTATAATATAAATTACCTTGTAATCCAGCCCAATTCACCATAACCTCCCACGATTATCACATAACTGTAAATGTAATGCAGTCAATAAACACGATCACTGAACACTGAACACCGAAAACGACATAAAAACTCTCCTTTCCCTACGACTATGGTTTTCACAGTATCGAAATATTACCAATTTCACAACAGAAATAGGTAAAATATTGGGCTTTGAACATCCACTCGAAAGTAACACCAATCTTCTTCATCAAATAATTATGCGGTTACAAGTTTAACACGTATTTATCTTCTGTAATTTGCCAACATTTCCCGTTTCTTAGTAGGTAGGTAGGTACCTTTTTTAGTAGCAAAATGAAATGAATGAATGAAATGACGGATTCGGAACAAAAGCAGACGGACGTATAATTATGTGTTGTCATAATCAAAAATATATAAACTCGGATACGTGTCTTGATATCGCAATAAATATATAACAATTACCATTCTTAGTTTTCTTGGACTACAATGCACAAGATACAAAATAACTAACCATAAATCATACAAAGTGAAATTATATTTTTCTCAAGCTTTATTACAATAATAATGGCTTAATTGAAATCTAACAAACGTTCAAATTTGTTTAAGAATATTACGCTAAACAATCATAATTATGAATTATAGTTATAATTAATATTTAAAGAAATTGTAAACGTGAACTTCTTTTAAAAAGGTACTCCAACAAAGGTATAATTATTTTTTGCTTTTAGTAATCTGTGACTATGATTGGTACAACTTTCCGATTTATATACGGCACTATTTTTCTCGAGTACGGTGTTCGAAAAATGACACGCAATAGCGACGAGCCAATAAAAAACGACGCGCAAAAACAAGAGTTTTGTAAATCGAGTGCAAAACATTCATCTACTTTCGTGTAACTTGATTCTTGTATTGACTGTGTCCAGATGGTTTTGTGTTAGTGATAGTGCAAGACTAGTTTGGAATCTGATTGTTTTGGTGTCGTTCCAAGGCATGACCACGGCGTGACTTCCATGCCCTGTGTACCTACGGAAGGGCGTGCAGATTACGTTTACTATGAATGGTTTTATCTCTTTCTAAACTCGAGTATCTGTGAATGACCGAGTGTAACAGCGAGCGTACCAAATTATGGATTGAAAAGTGTTTGTTGTTTGTATTTTGATATTTGCACCGCATTGCTGCGGAGTAATCGCCGTTATCTCGGTTGAAGATCATAGTGGTTGAAAATAAGCAGTCATATGGCGCCAGGACTATCTCGAATACGGATTAGTTACGCCGTTCGATTTGTCGAGCGCTTTACTATTTACGCACTATTGAAAAGAGATAGTACGTATTTTTAGTCGCGTCAACCGAGACTAGTGACTTTCATAACAGTTCGTAAACAACTTGAAGGTTATTTGTGTCTGATGCGGAGGCGCTGACATGGCTGCGGTTTCTGAGGCTGGCGCCATCGTGCGTCAGGGCCACCTACGAAAATTAAAGACGATGAAAAAGAAATTTTTCGTTCTACGCGCGGAAACCTCTGACTGTTCTGCTAGGCTAGAGTATTACGAGAGTGAGAAGAAGTTTAGATCAGGTTCGGCCCCGCGCCGCGTGCTGTCCCTAAAGAGCTGCTACAACATAACTAGAAGGTTGGACTTGAAGCAGAAGCATGTTATTGCTCTTTTCACTCGAGAGGAGCAGCTGTGCATAGTAGCAGAGAATGAGCAAGACTTGCATGCATGGTTGGCTGCTATACTCAAATTATTCCGCAATGATGATGCAAGTGCTGAACTTCTTCATCCCATACGTAAGTACTTTACTTATTTACCTGACTGGCAAATGTACCTGTTTCAATGTTGCATAATAATATTGTATTATAAATTACTAAGCAAACTTGTTCCCTATAATTGTTTTTATATAATTTGCTTTGATAAGTTATTTTGAAATGATGACTTGTAAACAAGTCAGTCTGATTCATCAATTTCATTGAATGAAAATAGCTGCTGATAACACAAACGAAGTAAGCATTTGCCATACAAATTATTTAATTTAAATTTAATTTTACTTGCCTGACTCGAGCCATTATCACTTTAGTTTTTAAGTAATCTTTAAATTAGCGAACATTTTATATAATTTGTAGAGCAACAGTAAGGACATTATAAAACGAGAAATATTTAAGTTTCTTCATGTTAACTATATCTTTTTAATTGTTCATTAACCAAAGCCAAACTGTTATTTTTAAACTACTTATGAAATAATAATCAAAGTTTCTTTTGGTGGAAAATAAAAAGTTTTTTATATCTAATAATTAATCTTAGCAAAATTTGTTTCTTGATAGAGATATTAATTAAACATGATTTAACAATAAATAAAAATTTATGTGATACCAATGTTTAATAGTATAAAGTTATGGCAAAACTTGTATTAAGTACGTTGAGGCTATAGAGGCCTTGAAAATTAATATATACCACCACTACTACTACTATGTAAATAAATATTTGAATGAGTAATTAAATTTGTTAAAAATTAAATTAAAACTTTTCCCTCGATATTTAAAAAAATATTATAATTGGCCTTGCAGTCTATTTATGTCTGTCAAGTAATACTCTTTCTGACCATGTAAATGTATTTTACTAAATAAGAGAATTTTCACTTCTTGAAAGGCTGTCATTGAGAAAATTGTATATTCAAGAGAAAAAAATGTCTCGATAAAAACTCATTAAGTAGTATTGAAGGACAAATAAATAACTAGTTTTTAATGAATTAAAAGCGGAAATTAAAAAAGTATGGATAGTGAAAAACTTTAATGACTAGAATTGATGTTGATATCTTAATATATATAAATTACGCGTCACGTTGTTTGTCCGCTACGGACTCCTAAACTACTTAAGCGATTTTAATAAAATTTGCACACCGTGTGCAGTTTGATCTAACTTAAAAGATAGGATAGCTTACATCTTAATTTATACCTGCAATATTATTTTTTTGCAAAATTATTTGATTATTATTTGACACTCACAATTCTAACAGATGGCGCTGTGTTGAATGGACCAACGTTTCACATAAACTACAAATTAATGACATAACCACCAAAGAAGCATGGTGCCCATGGGTCCCCATGACTGATGTTCTCCTACCGTTTCCCTTGAATAGTTTACTGCTGTGTAATATAACAAAAACCTTAGCCACAGCAACGCTTGGCCGAGTCTGCTACTTATGTATATATATATGTACATATTTTGTATTTATTTATTCCCTATTTTAGAAACATAAATTATTTAGTGTATTTGTTAGACATTGAGATTACGCACAACGGACCAACCTCGAGTCTAATTGCGGAGAAAGGAGTCCTTCAACCCTAGACATTGAGATTAATATGTAGGATGATGAATATATTGGTATATCAGGAAGTTGTGGAGTCTGAATTGCTAAAATTAATTCAATAGTCACAAAATAGTCCAGCCATAACTTGAGTACTTTCGATTTTGATTCTATATTTAAACAGGTTAATGGAAACGTATTATAACAATATAAATTTTAAATAATATTCAATATCTCTGCTGCATTGGTAATTCTTGTTTATTTCTAATATTTTTGTAAATAGCGCATTCCAATATCTTGTGCTTATGCAATTCCAACAAAACATTACAAAAGATGTGGCAAGACGTAAGTTTGAACAGTTATATCTAATTGGAGCCAAGTGTTAATGACTTGAGAGTTGAGTTTGCAAGGATTGTGTACCGCGCCGCGTCACGGTGGAAACATACTTAAAAAACTAATTGATATGTCATTGACCTTACCATTGTACGTATCATAACAAGTCAACAAAAACCATGATCGATCATAATTAAATTAATGTCGCGACAATTACTGAAATATATATTTTAGCTTGCGGTTCCTCTGCGTAAAATTGGGTTAAACATTCTAATTCCTACTTTGTATAGGGATATTTATAAAAAAAACTGTATGTGTTTTATCAGAAGCAATGTTTTAATGTTCTGTACAATTTCATAAATATTTTGTTTTCGTAAAATCCTATTTACCGGAAAACATTCGGTTTTCCGTGAGGATATTTTCTATTTACTACTTGGCTTTCGCTTTCAGCTGTTTGTGATGACAGGGTGGAAAGCGATCTTTTACTTTCGCTTTATTTGTATTTTTGATGCTTTGTTTTGCGGATGATAAACAACTTCGCATCCATTTACTATATATAGGTTACCAGTTCTTAAGTATACACAATAGACTTTATTAAGATAAAAAATAAACGTGCGAAAATATGAATAAAACATTGATGAATGCAGAGAACGCATCGCAATATATTTGTCTGCAATGTATCTCTAATAATGTTTACCTTATATTAGGCGTCACTCCAATGTTGGCTATATTCAATTAGTCAAGAAATTACCCAAAATTACAGACTATTCAGGAACTCGTCAATGTCTAGCCAAAATACTAAGGTTTTCTCTTTTACCGAACTTGATAGAACTAATAAAGTAAAAATTATGCGATCCGATGAGCGCGGCACTGTTCGTAATTTTGCGGGCCTCCTTATTTTAAATAGTGATTAAATCAAAACATTTGTTGCGGGACTTTGGCTTTGGTAGCTTTTTTTACCACCGTTTTATAAATTTATTATAATATTATGATTTTTGGTTTTTCAGTCACGTATTGATAGTACAAACTCATTAAAAAGAAAAAGTCATCGAACTTTAATTCCCTAGTTCTATGCTGTGATAAATAAAATTTAATTACAATTCTTAGTTTGACCTTTATATTTTTTCTATGCATTATGCTAGAGCAGAGTTAGCCTCGGCCAATCGGCTGGTCGCAAATCGCAATTAACATTCGTTCGAACGGTGAAGGGAAAGAAAACATCGTTAGGGAACCGGCTTGCCTTAGACCCAAAAAATCGACGGCGTGTGTCAGGCACAGGAGGTTGATCACCTACTTGCCTATTAGATTTAAAAATGATCATGAAACAGATACCGAAATCTGAGACCCAGATCTAAAATGGTTGTAACGCCACTAATTTATTTTCATTTTTTTTATTCCTACCTTTCAGACCTACCTTCCTTGTTCCTGCCCACCAGACTCGTAATCGTGCTTTGTTTCATGTTCCTCACATCAACACTAACTAAGCAAAAAACTCAGTTTTATATCGCGCAGCCCGGTCTTACAACGACCAATAGGTATTTAAGCCTTGACTTGTTTAAGCTATCGAGGAATATGGTTATAAGGAGTATTAAGAATATCCATAGCGCAGAATCACCTCCATCATGAGCATACCCCACATGCACACCTTCACATACTTACCCTCACTTTTACACCATCACACAACACAGCCAAATTAGGTACCACTTAGTTAAATGTATTGAATAGTTTTTATTTGTTTGTTTCCTTTTGTAAATTTTTGAACCTTTTTGTAGTTAAATGTTTTATGTATTCCATCTCTGGCTATATTTTCAGTGTAACTGTTTGTTATTATATATAATTTATGTTAGCTGTAGGATTACGAAATAAATAAATTATTTTCTATATTATATATTATGTAACATATCTAATTATGAAAGTAAATTATATATTATATAAGATTGTTAATACACAAATTTATACATGTAACAAATACAGTAAATCCCCTTAAAACACGGTACTCTCATAGCGCATTTTCTATTAAACTATTTCATTCCCTCGTATAACACGGGTGGATATTCCACAACATAACGCGGGGATTTCACACGTTATATTTCTGCACTGTGACATTTATAATGATTTGTGCGCACTTATTTCGGTCATAACACTGTATTTACTTAATATTGGACTTAAATTATGTTTAACGAGAAAAGTTAAACGTGAATAATTTGTACATAAAGCGTTATATGGGGTCATACAAGCGCGTTATGCGAGAATACTCCTACAAAGCGTTTCCATTTACGCGAAACGAATCTACCGTGTTATAGGAGGGTTTACTGTACTTATTAAAAAACAACCTGTCTGTAACGTTTGACTAACTGAACATATACCTAAAGCTATATGTATAATATCTTTTAATTCCGATAATCGAAACCTATCAATTATACAAAGCCGACCTAAGCAATTTAATTTGTAAAATTCGTATAAACATACGTTTAAAGATTAGCGAGAACGGACGGAGAAACACAATAAATTAAAAACGTTTTTGCGTTTTTCTAATATTTTTTTAATTTTTACACACATGCGGTTTCTACTGATTAATACTACGGTATCATGAAGGTATACGATACTTAAAAGTGACATATACATTACATTAAATAAAAGTCTCCTTAAGTAATGATAAAGATAATATTTTTAATAATATTTTTCCGCGAACAGCTATCGAACGTATCACTTTCCAAATTCTCAGCGAACAAACTTGCCGTTTTCCTTATATTTGTAATATTAGATATTTATTTACCTTATGTAACATCGATATCGTCGCTTAGTGGTCAATTGGATTAACCCGGAAGTCTAAGATTTGGTCATATACATTAAGATTATAGTAAAACCTGGACTAGTAGACAATACTTAATTGTTTATCTAATTTGATTCATTATTATTGATAAGTAAACATTTAAAAGTATATTAGTATAAATATTAACTTAATAAAATATTTTACGTTACCACTAAGCCTTAGTAACAAAATATGCACCGGAATAATTTTTTGTCCGTTTTTCTTGTTAATAGTTTTTCCATGCTAAGTCCAAAAATGGAAATCCTTGTGCGTATGAGTTGAATAATCTTTTATTCAAATTATTTATCAAGTCGTGGGGAAAACACAAATGACTCAATTGGTTATTTTCTATCGAGTTATGATTGATCTATAGATTAGGTATTTCCTATGAAACTTATTAACTTTTAGCACTGTAACAATATATTGAATATTGTTTACTTTTTCGTAATTTTGTACGACTCATTTATAAAACAAACGTATTTTGTACGTAAGTCACGTCTATGAGTTATTTAAAAAACAACTCTTAACTATTTTGTCTATAGAACCTGTAGCGATCATGCGGTTCTCACGTGAGTATTTTTATTATTAATTAAAACAAAAAAAGATTTCGCACGCCATATTTGTTTTTTTTTTGTAGGCATATTAAAATTATTTTAGTAGCATTATACAATTATTTTTATATTAAATGGAAGTTAATTTAGTTTAGATTAACTTTTAATATTAATATAATTTCTAATTGTGCTACATTGCTAAGCCTCAAACCAAACAACCTTCTGGGTACTTAAAATTTGCTGAGTTATCTTCAACCGCCTTATAAATTGTTGTCGTAACTATTCTATGGGATTATTCCGAAAGGTCTAATTCAGAGTTCGGACTTAGATTGACTGCCTATGTCAAAAAGGTATTGAATTTTTGAATAGTACGAGATCCGGCTGCAGGATTAGTGCGCTCATCGGTTATTTGCTAAATTTGGCCGCTAATATTTTTAATTAAATTATTTTTAATTGATTTTTGGGAAAACATTTCGTTCACTTGTTGTTTAAATAAAATATCGTCTACATGACGGCTATTTACATAAATATTTAAAAAAAAATCACGGGTGACGTTGCCCACCCAGCCGCATTTCTTCGTAGCCAGGTATAAACAGGTATGATTTCGACATTTATACGTTCATAACGTACATTTATTAATTCTATATCAAATTGAAGCTATTTTTTTTCTATTAATTATCATATATTGGTGCCTAGTTAATACTGGCCGCAAATAAGGGTTACCAGTTAAAGATGATAAATATTTAAGGTAGAGTGAAAGATTGTTTTGGAATAATTTAATTAAAAATACTAGCGGCTACATAATGATAGGCAACTTGGTAGATATACATTCTCCTTATTATAAATATACATAAAAATTTGGTTTTTAGCAAATAACCGATGAGCGCACTAATCCTGCAGCCGGATCTTAGACCATAATTCATCGTGGGTTCCAAGATATATAGAGTAAAACTTCATTTCAATGTATCTATGTTAGCCTTCTAATAAATAGCTAAACCACTAAGTACTTATTTGCCACAAATATATATGCTATATTTTAAATATATTTGTAACGAAAAACTAAGTAAAATAAAGTACACATTTTCGTGATACAAACACAGTCATTTAGTGTTTACTTATGACAGCTCTCTTTGCTCTAGCTATGTTAAGCTGTTAGTGTCAGTGCATTCGCTTAACTAAATAGATTCGACAGCGTGCGTGGTCACCGTGACCACGCACGCTGTAAAGCACGCGAAACGTCGGATAAATTTAAAATTATGTTAAATAGTTGTAAATTTATAATAATACATAACTTCAATCCGGTCAAAATAGTGTTTTATTAAATAAATAGATTACCAATTTCCAGAACACGTATGGCAAGTGAACGTCCAGAAGAAAGGTCTTGGCGCGTCCAAGAGCATCCAAGGTTTATATAACCTGTGTCTCACAGACAAGACTTTAACTCTGGTTAAGATCAAAAGCCACAACAACATCATCAGCGATCTGGTCATACCGGAACGTGTGGAGTACTCTCTGAAGAATATTAGACGGTAAGTTTTTAATAATGTATTTTTGTCGCGTATACTTGTTGATATTTTGGGGCTGTGTTTGTTACTACAGCAGTAGTGTTTGCCTAGTGGCTTTAGCTTGCGACTCTCATCCTTGAGGTCGTTGGTTCGATCCCCGGCTGTGCACCAATGGACTTTCTGTCTATGTGCATATTAAACATTCGCTCGAACGGTGAAGGAAAACATCGTGAGGAAACCGGCTATGGACCCAAAAATTCGACGGCGTGTGTCTGGCACAGGAGGCTGATGAGGCTTACTTATTAGATTAAATTTAGATTGGAGGATTTAATTAATATTGCTGGCTGGTGCCTCCTCAATTGCTTTAACTCCGTCCGATATATTCCTCAATTAATGGACTATCCAATATAACACTTTTTTCTTCTTCAGTTGGAATCAGTACTTTCTGAGTATGGCTAAACAAACAAACTCTTCAGCTTTATATTATTGAGCATAGATACGTTATCGAAGGAAATAGATAGATACAGATAATAGTGTCATACTCTAATACTCAATAGGGAAAACTAAAACTAATTGTTTCATAATCTAGTCTTAACATTCCATTATTTCTATAATTATACAACATAAGACATACGGAATAAGTTGTTAATAAAACAATCCAATCAGTAAGATAAGGTAGATTTTACCTTGTTGTAGTTTTTCCTGAATCATACATAACTAAATAATAGTTATTGTACAATGTACATGTGTACAATAAAATCCTACGTTAACACAATGATATACATACATGATTTTTAATTTAGGGCGATATAATTCTAAGAAAATCGTTTCCTTTAAAAAACACCGTCTCGTGTCGATGACCTGAACTTTTTCTTACACAAAATAAGACGCGGAAATTCATTTTAATGTTTCTAAGAAAGGTCCACAGTAGAAAAACAGACATGTTTCTTTGCTTTGTGCGAATGAAACTGTGATACAAATTGGTATTGGTGTTTTAGTTGCCCGCTTAGAAGAGTTTGTTATTTAGTATTTTCCTGTTTACAGATACACGAACAACTGTAATATTTGTATTTTTGATAATTTTACTTAATGGGTTCGTTCGAGTCAAATAAACAAGCTCTCACAGCCATAATGAAGACAATTCTTCATTTCGTGTATAAGCTAGCTATAAGCATGTATCAAAAATCATTTATTCATATAGGTAACACAATGTACACTTATGAACGTCAAAAAAGAAATATACATTAAATGCTTCTAATTTTACATTTACTACCAGTTCTCAAATCAAGGGCGTAGAACGGAAGAGAAGAACTGGCAATAAACTTTTACTATACTATAGCGACAAGTTTTCATCGTTTTAATTTACTACATATTTGAATAAAAGTTAGACAGTTAGTTCGGATTATTACCTGCAGCTGAGTTGCTGAGTTTCAGCATCGGACGTCGAGGATGAATACAAAATTCCACCGTATCACTTCGACGTCCGCCTGAGCGTTATTTAAAGTAGTTTTTGCCGCGCACCACCACTATGTGGAACCAGTGAAGTATTTCCGAACCAATTCGACTTAGAGTCCTACCAAGAGCGTACCAACTCCTAAAAAGCCTCGTACTCGTAAGCCCTCTGGCATTGAGACTGACCATGGGCGGTATCACCTAAAATCAGATGAGCCTCCTGCCCGTTTGCCCCCTATTCTATAAAAAAGTTATTTAGTATTTTATTTTACACTATGAATGCAAATATAAATAATTAATAATAATGTTATTAATTACGTAACTTGAGTCTAATTGAAAAATAGCTATATCTACGCCATCTATTGCAAGCCAGCGGATTTTTACAAAAATAATTTTTTATCCCCTTGTTTTTCTTTGTCTTTTCTGAGGTTTTAATGTATGGTATATGTGAATTCGTGATGTTAGTAATTTCAACTATTCTATTTTTTTATTATTTTCGTGTTGTTCCCACGAGAATGTAAGTGCGTGCTCCTATTTCACCATGCCCCCTGCTGATAGAGGACAAATCTTTGTTTTTTAATTTATTTTATTATTATTTATTACTTAAGATGTCATGTGGAACATGGTGTAACGGTTGCAGCTCCTTACAAACGTTGGTTTTTAACCAAGTTTTTTGTTTTAAAAAACTTGGCGATTAAAAAGTGGCGGAGAGTTTATTGCTAGTTCTTCTCTTCCGTTCTACGCCTTTGATTTGAGAAGACTGTAAAAGTAGAAGCATTTAATGTATATTTATTTTTTGACGTTCATAGGTGTACATTGTGTTACCTATATGAATAAATGATTTTGACTTTGGTATGTTTTTGTTACCAGAATTACCCCAGATCAGTTGTTAAAATTTTACGCTTACACGTTTTGTTTGGGACGTTTTTATCTATGCAGAAGTTGCGGGCTTGTCTCAGCATTGCTAGTCTATTACTGGATGCAGATTATTTTAGGTTCGCTTTGTTCTCCCAGTTATAAATAACACTTAATTATAATGCGAGACACGTCTGGTACAGTTTATATCGCATTTAGCTGCGTGTGAATTCTTAAGTGATACACGTTGGTGCAGTATTAAATTGCGTTTTGCCATAGCCAGGTTTACTAAATATTGTAGATGTAGGATGATGTGCTGTTGGTCAACAATGTACCATATCATATAGGTCATAAAATGCGTTCAGGATTTTAGGGGAAAATTGATTTCCTTGAGTAACAAGCTATACTGTTTAAAATTTTATTGAACAGCGACTAGCTCCGGCTTTGCGGTTGACTTTTACCAAGAATTCCCGCTAATAATTATCGTTATATTCCAAGCAACCTATATGAATCGGTCTATCAGTGACCGAAACCCCGTGAAAATCCGTGCAGTAGTTTATGAGAGAGAAGGATTTTGTTTTATAATATGTAGTGATGATTAGTGGACTGTTCTGTTTATAAATCCATTTCGTATTACAGAAATAGATCAAGATTTCACAAATAAATAATTTACAGATTTTTCTGCAATGATTGTCTTATATCCTAGGTATTTTCATTGTCAGCCTAATTGTCAAGTTGCAAATGTTAAAATCCTTATAAAAACTTAGTTCTATGAGTACCGACCCTCAACTGAATGTTAAAACGTATAACTGTGCGTTCGTTGCACTGTAGAAGCAATATTTGGCACTTGTTTTGATGATTCACTGAGCGCGTGGGCTATACCAGGCCATGTTTTGTTGAATGGACTTAATACGCGTCTCAGACGGGTTTGATTTGTTTTCGTCTTGGAATTATTGGCATCACGTTTGTCTGATTGTTCGTTTTAGGAACAAAGACGAGTTTTGGGAGTATTAGTTCAAATCATTGCTAATTCCGGTTATATTTACTTGAATTGTTGCGTGTCTACAGAAATTCAAGTTTTTCAGCTCAGTGATGGTCTGGAAGTCGTACATTTGTAACATTTGCTCACGCTACAACCTTTTTAGGTCTGGGCCTCAGATTTCTGTATCTGATTCATGATGAAAAAAAAAAATACATGGCGATTAAAAAGAGTGGCGGAGAGTTTATTGCCAGTTCTTCTCTTCCGTTCTACGCCCTTGATTTGAGAACTTGCACTAAATGAAAATTAGAAGCATTAATATTATGTATTTCTTTGCTGACAAGTCATAAGTGTACAATGTGTTACCCATATGATTAAATGATTTTTGAATTTGAATTTGAATCATATGGTAATCTAATAGGCAAGTAGGTGATTAGCCTTCTGTGCCTGACGCACGCCGTTGACTTTTTGGGTCTAAGACATGTCAGTTTCCTCACGATGTTTTCCTTCACCGTTCGAGCGAATGTTAAATGCGCGCATAGAAAGAAAGTCCATTGGTGCATAGTCGGGGATCGAACCTACGAACTCAGGGAGGAGAGGCGCACGCTGAAGCCAATAGGCCAACACTGCTCACCGCGTCAACTTTTAGGGGCATTAAAAAACATTAGGAATTAAGTCAATTCGACTTCGGTTCCTTCAAGAAAAGAGCGTACCAATTATTATTAAAAGGCCGACCATACACTAGCCTTCTGTCAATGGGCTGCGGTGTCACATAACATCAGGTGAGCCTCCTGTCCTTGTTATATATAAAAAAAGAATGAAGTGTGTATACCTACGTCAATATGATAATTTAAATTTTGGATAAATAAAACTCGAAAATATAAGTTTCATACAATATTTATCGTTTTTATTTTATTACGATAAGTTTGCGTTTTGATATATACTTAGAATTATGGATAACTGCCGTATTCCCAAAATTAGGTTTAAAGACTTTATTTCTCAAAAAGACAAAAAATGTCACTTACATGAGAATAATACTCTAGATTAACATAACATTGTAGTGGTTCTTAAAATAATCATAATAAAAGATAGCCGTACATGCAATAAACTTAGAAATAAAAGTAATTAAAGAAATATGAATTAAAAGTAATTATAAGAAATTAATTTAAAAGTAATTTTTTTTAACATATTCACTTAGCTTCTATTTAAATAAATTCATAGAAGTAATATTTTTTATATCTGTGGGTAGTTTATTATAGATACATTTATTGGGTTTTATATTACGAAGCCAGTTTGCAGCGAGGTCACAGTCTCGACATCCTAAGATCTTTATTAATAGTTTTCATTTTTAACCAACGTTAATTTCAGATCAAATTTTTGTTGTTAATGCGAAAGTGATTTAAATTCTTTGACAGATGCGGTGATTCGGAATGTTTCTTCTATATGGAAGTGGGACGGCAGACGTCGACAGGTGCGGGAGAGTTGTGGATGCATTCAGACGACTCTAACATCGCGCAGAGCATGCATTCAACTATATATCAGTAAGTTATATTATATCATATATTTAGTTGACCTGGATTTAAACCCAGAACAGTGTGAACAGATGAGGATAATGTCTGTATGATGCTCCATTAGACGGATAACAGGTTGCCAAACACACAAAAAATACACTTGAACACTTAGATTTATATTTTATACAATTACGTTCCTCAATAAAGAACTCTAAAAATTAAATAATCTTAACTGAAAAATCTATTTACAATGTAACAAATATTCGTTATTCTTATGTACCATTCTACATTTAGCGTATTAATAGGAATTTTTCTTACACATACTAAATTAATAGACACGTATAATTGCGAAGAACATACGAAGAGAATAATCACGTTGTTATAATTAATTCGCGCCTGCAAAAAATTATTAGCAAAAGCTCCCTCAGTATACGAAATAATTTTATGGAAGGTACTAATTCTACATCTAATTTTTAACCTCTATTTTCATATTTTAAATTACTATCGTGTTAACATAAGTAAATGTGAAGTTATGTAGCCAACTATAAAAATGAATTGTGAGTACATTTAGATAAGAATATTTCTGCAAATAATAGAATTGAAATATTACGCCGAAAGTTAACTGTAAATGTTTAGTTTGAGAGTTAAATATATAATAGTTCCAATAGTTCCAATATATTGCACTTTTATATAATTATTGTGTATTATGTAATTAACTAAAACTTGTCGGTCGGAGCTGATGTTTTGGTGTTACAGCCATTTTTACTCGATCTGTCTACACCTTTTAAATTGTCTTCAATCTGTTGCAACGTCCGACCCTTCGTCTCCGGCATCAAAAACCACATAACTATCAAACAGTACAAAATCACACTCCCATATATTCCGTACACACCTTCAATACCCACTGAAGATGTGAGGTAGGGGAAGGTCTTTAATATTAGAAAGTGGAAAAGCGTCGCTATAGCGGTCCCAAAGCTTATACCGATGCTGCGGTAAGCCAAAGGAAATATTTCCCCAGCAATTACGCACATTATTGGTAATACTCCTGCGGATACAGCGAAACATTGAAGATTCAGTAGTAAAGCTGGTATCCATATGTAGTCAAATAAGGTAATGCCTTGTTTTATCATAATGACATGGGCAACTACAGCGACGTGTGCAATTAAGCACAGGACACCAGTGCTAAACGCCACGGTGCGACGCAAACACATCTTCATGAAGTAAACAGCCAGTATATTAGTGATTATACGTAATATATCTATCTCTACCAGCCAGAAATTCGCATCAACGCCCGGACCCATAATGAGCCCCACAATAGCTACCCCGTAAACTGCTAAATTCATCCCACCAGCCACATACACCAGTAACGTGACATGCAAGAATAGAAGAATGGGCTTATAAAATTCTACTTTACGTACAATCTCCACGCTGTTTTTAAAATTTATGACAGTTTTTGTCGCATTGTGCTCCATTCTGGCTTGGATGAGCTCGTTTAGCTCGGCTTCTTCCTGATCGCCTCTAAGTTTATGGAAATGTTGTTTACATTCATCATATTTCCCTTTACTTGCGAGCCAACTCGGGGATTCTGGTAGAAAAAATGTCATGATAAAGCTGATTAAAGTGAATGAGACACAGATGAGAGCGGTCATCTTCCAGTGTATCAGCGATCCTATCAAATGCACTAAAAACATGCCAAGTGTTTGTGCAACTGTAGTTGTTGTTAGGAATGCCCCGCGGTTTTTAGGACTTGAGTACTCTCCTATAACGACAGCTCGTAGAGGTACCATTTGCCCAAATGATAGTCCGTGCATCAGTCTTGCAAGTAGAATAATCTAAAAATAATTATTTGATAAATTTGTCGTATAACATTTGGAAGACTTCCACGGTCCGCTTTACAAGACACTTTCTTTTGCGAACTAGCGAGCTGTGGAATCGACTCCCAGTGGGTCTTCCCTGGGATATACGACCTCGTATTATTATTATTATACACCCACTAAAATGGGTGTCCATGGGCAGCGATGACATTTTTTTTGGCGTCCCGTAGGCTCGTTTTCCCTCCTATATAATAAAAAAGTGCGTGCGTACAAAGTACACATGTCAGAAGTGAAACTTCTTTGTAAATTAATTATTGAGTAATTAAGCTGCCCAAATCCCATAAATTCATTTTGCCAGTCTTTCTATATTAGTGAATGATACTAAGGCTAATTAAAAACTAGAACTAAAATTTGTTTTTGTTGTCTATATATAAATACCACCATAAATATGGTAACAATTACCAAATAATATAACAAATTAATTATTATCATAATTGCTAACTTATGATAATAATGAAACTACTAAACGAATACATCAACCATTAGCGTGTTGCTTCATGCTACGTTCGCCCTTTCTCACTCTCTCTTAATCGGTCTCAATCGCTCACTCCCTTCGACAAAAACGCTGCACATCTTTGTGACGTTCCGTAAATTTTTACCATGCACCTAAAGAAGTTTCAATTCAAATAATATTCTTATATTTCTAATTAAATGCTCACCTACTGCTCGTATTTCTTTTCTACTTACACTTATAATGCTATACAAATCATACTAGTTGTACCAACCTGAACGTTGTTTGCAAATATTATCAGAAGCCATCCTACAACAGCCGGTATATTGATCAAGAAATGCGCCTTTTTTCGACCCAATTTATCCAGTATCAATGGCATGGATAAATTACCCACTAACATCGCTATGGTGATAATTGAAGCTGAAAAAATCTTCAATTATAAAACGTTACTTGTATCTACATTTTTCCGAGTTCTACATTGTCTCACAAAATTATTGGGTGAGTGAAAAATATAAGATTTTGAAAATGTATTAGCAAGAGGCTTACCTACTAGCCACATTGGATGCTTTAAAAAATCAGTTTTATTGCGCATATGTCCAAGTAAACTGATTTAACTTAATTCCTAATCGATCTCTTTTCAACGCAGCGTTAAACACATTTTGACAGAGAGAGCTATCTCAAAAAATACCAATGGCACACCCGATCGAAGGCTGGATATACTAGACTAATCACTAGCGCCTCCCCGAGAACAAGGAGGTTATAGCTATTTAACAATAGTTGGATGGGTTAGAGAGAATTTAATTTAGGTACGAATTAAATATGAATAATTTACAAAATAAATGTGACATGCTCGTTAAAATGTACGATAACGAAAATAAATTTGTCTCCTCTCAATTTAATCAGATAATAGTAAGCCGGTCTTATCTTTTTCTATTAGTTACAATTTTTCCTGCTGTACATTCCTAGATCCTAGCATAAGTTAATCTGGATATAAAATTACTAAACTTTACTAATAGACACAGTCACAGATTAGTAACTGTTCCATATCATTCAATATTTTGGAATCTTTGTTAGTGGCAAAGGTAAATCTTTATTGTGTTGTGTGTGCATTAGTTAAAACACCTATAATAAGCAAATATGAGTAAGAGGAGTTATTATTTTATAAGTAAATCTGTTATGACGTGACAAACATACACCATCTGAGTCCCTAATTACAACTATTAACTCCGGTCCTTAATACGTACCTATCCATGACTCCTGGGCCTTGGTCAGAGGTATGAGAGAATCTGGTAGTTTGAGTTGTGGCAGCAGCACCGCAGGGAAGCCATATGCGCAACCATTACTTAGCACATTCATAGATACAGTTGCACACACGAAACACTGGAAAATATAATATTCGTTTGTGAAGTAACCAATGTTTTATTTCTTCATTATAATCACATTATAAAAGTATCTTAAGGCCCTATCCCAGCGCACGAATTGCTGTGTCAGTGTCTCGGGGTGTCTGCGGGGCGCAGTGGAGCACTGAGACGCGCCGGCCCGTAATAAAAATTAGTTATTAAAACATGAAATTAATGTAATTTTACTAATTTTTTTTCTGAAATGGATTACTTGGCTTGCGATAATATATATCGTGTAAATTTCAAAGTCATATTCTTTATACATTTTCGTTAGGTATAAAATGAATTCAAGTGTCAAAACTTGGATGTTTGCATTTTTTTCTATCAAGCTAAGTTATTTAAATCGCGTATCGATCTTCCAAAATGGATGCATAAACTACTCAACTCCAATATATATTTTTTCCATCCTCCCTACTTCAAGTAATGATCACGAAAATGGAAAGAAACAATGTACTTTTATGGAATTGGGTGACCAGATCGGTCCTTAACTCATGTTTACAGACCATTCAATACATTTCAGCGTACATATAGCAAAAACGAAAATCAATATTAATTCAATCATAAGTTCCACAATCCGTGAAAAAAAGAGCGTAAAATTCCAGCAACGTATCCATTTGTTATACTTGTCATACGATATTAATTTAATTGTTTCTGTTTTTCTGCACTAGTGTTAATTGTACAAGACGGATCTATTGGTGCACTTGGCCGGCTTTGACCCTGATGTCGTGGAGATTCAGGGTAATAGGAATCGCACACGTAACCATTAAGCTAGCACTTCTCTATGAGAAGTCATTCCTAATTGGTTGTCATAATTTAAATTAAGAAATTAGCTAAAATTACTACATAGCTCTTCAATGTTTACAATCCTATTTAATATGTATTTTTCTGTCAAAAATAAAACTTTTTTTTATTGAATTTTAAAAAATTGTATCGAAATTCGAAGAAAGTAAATATTCTAAACTTATTTTTACTACCCCCATTAACAATAAAAATTATATATTTTTGCTAGCATAATTAACATTTTAAATGTACAAGAGTTTTGTATAAATCATTTTATACAAAGAAAATAAATCTTACTTGTATAAGAAACGGCGATATGACAAATGGAAGATACATGATGAACTTATTCCTCTTTAACACGCTCCGCACTCCTTGTTTACCCAAATTAGTTATATTTTTTTAAGGATAATATTATATCCTATAATATTTTCCTTTCAACGTCGATCGCGAATATCAGAATTATGCAGACAAGTCGAAACAAACTTTAATATTGACGCAACGGTTACATTATAAAGCGTTATCTTCACTATCAGGTTGTTTATACAGAGTTTCAGGTTGAACATTTTTAACTGGTTTTTAAAGTCAAACTGAACGAATTTATCCAAAAAAAGAAAAACGAAACGAAGAATCGAACATTTTTGTTGCAAACGTGTTTTGTTGACTGATTAAAAATTATTAAAGCACTCACTCAGATTATGATTGTCTGCTTAATATATGAAAAAATATAAGTTAACATTTTAAAAATTCTCAACCTTAGACACGACATCTATTCGGTACGTTTAACTGTGGGTGTTTATTTAAAGTTGTTTATTTAAAGTTAAGTTAATAATTATAATCTATAATATTTTTCTAAATTTTTTTTACATTTATATTAAATCATACGTTATTTTCCGGGAATGGAACAGGACATACACAAATAATACACGTATTTAAATACAAAACAACACGATGTGTATTGTCATATTTTTCAACTAGTACAGCTACGGTTTCCTAGAAAAGCGGTGCCGTTAACTAACGGCCGTCATTTTACGTTAGTTAATAAACGGCCGTCTTTACGGTGGCCAAGCTGTGGTTTCCTAGAAAGTAGTGCGACCGTATTTTTGAAGTGTTATTCCAATTTCGTTCCACAAATTTTGCTTCATCTGAGCTTGTCTGTACTCTTTGGATTTGATATTGTACAAAGCTTCATAATTTTTAACAAAATCAATAAATTTTTCATCATTTTCGCTCGTCCAAGTCATTGTATTATTTAATATGCGCACCGCTACACGCAAGAAACGTGGAACTACTGTTTATCACCGCTATGACGGCCGTCGTGAAAATGACAGCACCGCTATTTGACGTTACGGTGACACTCAACGTTCTCTAGAACACCTACTCTGATGTTATTTATAGACGTATGGGTGACGTCACCCAACGTTACATTACGGCCGTTAGTTAACGGCACCGCTTTTCTAGGAAACCGTAGCTTTATAGCCGCGCCCTCGGCCCTACTTTACCACTTTCAAGGGTAAGATACTAAGTAGTACTAACTAGGGAAGGTAACAACTAAAACCAGATCCAATTTAGGATAAGATAAGGGTATATAAATCGACAATAATAAAGTATTATTTTTTTACTTTAAATAAGAAACGTACTCATTTCACTACACCATGTAGTCTATTAGCTAAGCAAATTCAAACAGAGATTGTGTAAATGATTATTTACTTTTCAGTGCGATGATGAACTGCGCGAAAGAGTCGGAGAATGAAAAGGATCATATAGTGGTACCTGGGAAAAGTTCTTTGCTCGAAAGTTCGAACCCACTACCCGCACGAAGGCAAACCTACTCAGATGGCAGAGGACGCGCTGGACTTTATAACGGTATGTATTCAATGGTTTATAATTTATTACCTCTTAACTAAATGACCGTGGCGTTTTTATAAGTTAGTTTAAACAATTGCTATCGGAATATATTTATTATAGTTTTACAATAACAGATGTTCTTTTGTAGTTAAACTAATTATTATAGAATTGTATTTAATAAGTAATTATTTACGTTTTTATATTTTTAATTAATAAAGTGATATTACTATATGTGATTAACACACTAAACATATTACATTCACTCTCAATTAAATTTGGTTCAGGGAAAAAGTGTCAGGAATTGGAAAAGCGTACAAAATTTTGATTACATTAAGACTGGTTATAAAAGAAGCTGGGATGGTCAGATAGATTATTTTTGTAGTTTATACAACGCTGTAATAAAAGTATTAAAAAATTTGTAACTTGGCGCGATTTCCAAAAAATCTTTTCTCTTACGCAGATCATTAGTTCAACAGTACAAAAATCTTTCGTTGAAAACTGACGTATGCAATTGAACCCTCGCTTAAACATAGAGTCGCTGTAGAGTGATAACCTCATATGGAGAACCAAACATTACAGGAAACGAAAAATGTTTCATTTCGTCAATGTTTGTTAAAATATTATTTTGTTTTTTACATAGTTTTAGGTGGTCAAAAGGACTTATTAAGTCTTTACTTCATGATTATTCCAGTAAAATGACATAAGAGTAAGAATAAAAAATAAATGTTTTTTTGACATACGAGGTTATCGTTCTACAGTGACGATAGGGTCCTATATTGCGCGGCTGATTTCGACTAAAAGATACTTGTAGATGTCATTTAGTAGAATAGTGTGTCATAGTAGTTTGTTTGACTTACAGTAGAGTAGAATGCTTGTTCGACAATTTTATTAACCCTCTAAGGTACCAAATAATAAATAAGATATTTAGAAAAAAATCTCTTTACTATTTATCATTTTTGTTTAATGATTGTGTAAATAGAATAGCTATTTATATTGAAGTTATGTGGGTAAATAGAGTTGTTTTGACTAATATATAGATAGCATTTAACTATATTAGTAGTACATAGTTCCATTATCACTTATGTAACATAGCACGTAGATAGCTCAAATACCTTACACGAATTCAATTCCTAAACATTTAAGTTTGACAAGTATAAATATAATTATCAGTTTAACGTTTATTCCTTCATTAAACGTTTACAGTTATGGTGTTTAACTTATAATTACCTATATTACCATCTATATATGGTTCGTAAAAGGCCGGCAACGCACTTGCAATACTTATGGCAATGTGAGTGTCCATCGGCGGCGGTATCATTTAACATCAGGTGAGTCTACCCGTTTGCCATCTTAAATGTAAAAAAAAAAGAAATCTCAATATCTAGTTCAACATTTTTTGGTTTATAATTGTTAGATTATTTACACAAATGAATACAAAAGTTCACAATTATTAAACCTATGAAGAAACAAATTACACCACACACACACTATCTTTAAAATGTAGTTTAGTATTGTGTGAGCTGTATGTAGCGTAGTGGGTTCACGCGTTGCGCATTGCAGAGAAGGGCCTCTGCGTGGGCGCGTGCATACGGCAGTGCGTCTGCGCCTCCGCCACCTACTCCATTGACGATTCGGCCGCTGCCGTCCCCACTAACGGTACGAGATCGCTCTATTGGATGATTCTCTTCTCTTGTATGCTCGGTGACATTCTAGACTCTTCTTGCAACTACGTTGTACCTCAATGCCTATTTTCTAAGTCTAGTAACTACTTTGAAAACTATTTCTCATACTTTTGAAAGCATACTAGGACTATTTTTGTAGTATTTTTAAGAAATTATATCTTTCCTTCTTGTAAACTATTTAATCCTTTTACTTACTAATCAATATAAAATAATAAAGTTATTATTATTGTCTTGAAAACACATTGAAGTGAGGATCTGTTAATTAGTTTGTCTAGATTGTAAACCGAGTGTACAGAATGTTGGAAATGTTCATTCACCAGCTCAATTCGTTCATGGCTGTCAAATGGTCGTGCTTGGTTATAGAGGCATCGTAACTCATTCATCGTTCATCCTCATTCACCTTCGGAGAAAAGATTGATAACTAATTTCTCGTCAGAATATCTGAATGGCTTTTCAATGGTGCCTCAAATTGATGTGGTGTATAATTAACTGTTAACTATCAAATCATTGAATTTCTAATCGCTCGATTAATAACTGATGCTTTAAATGTGACGGTGACATCTCTATTAACCGATAAGCATGAAATGAACTGCGAAATTTAACGGCTTTAAAGATATTTGGAAAAAGCAAAAGAACAAAATGTAGCATGTTTTAACAACGCTCATAATATTAAACAACAAAATTTACAATAACCGTTTACCCCAAAATCTGTATGAGTATATGTACTTTGAATTTGTATGGTATGATGAATGATTGTTGTCTGCATGGATCGGTGATGGTTCGGTCTTGTGTTGTGTGCGTCATTTACTCACATGTGTGTAAAGATATGGTAAAACAAACGGCCGATACAGTTACTTTCCAACATATAATTAACTGGCCAACAGTGCGTGTACGCGCTAGATTCTGTTTAAACACAACAAGTATTTTTTAAATCGTGCCATATCTTTATATCAACGTTGTAATCACATTCCGACCATGGTACTTGACATTTCGGTTGACAGTTGCATTCAGGCAAAATAAAGTCTTGCGATTCTACGTTTAAACACGTACACAAGGTACCATAGTCAATTCACGAATAACCAACGCACCGGGTGACGCTTGGTGCCAGATGTTTACGTGTCGCTTCTCATTGTCTTCTGCAGAAAACCAACCGCCGAATAACACACTAACGCCCGAAAAGCAGGACCGCCCCGCGCGGCATATTAAACACCACCGTACAGTGTCACTCCCCGCCGGCTGTTCAGTCTTCCAGGAGCCTTTGAAGATCGCCCACGGCAGAACTAGATCCGAGCCTCTCACAGGGGACGAAGTAGATCAAGCTATCTTAGAGAAAACAGTGATGTATTCCTCCTGCAAAACCGTCAATGGAACGGATACGATCAAGAAGAACCCATGGTGCAGACGTGCAAGTACCGGCACAAGGTTTTCCAAACTGTCGCCGGCGCATACCAAGAGTATGTATCATGCTTCGACTAACCAACATCGCATCGCATACACTAATCCCACTTCTGATTTCCATTTATCAGATTTGCTTGTGATTTGCCTGCATGTGTTTATTTGCTTTTGTGATCGTTACCCTTTGTATATACTCCCCAATGTATATTTTGCTGTAAAATCTTTGTTCGTGAGCTTGTAAGTTGTGTATGCTTGAGACAAAAGTCTAACTGTATCAATTTAGAATTAGCTTCAGCATGAGTACAAGTAAGTATGCAAAGATTAATATATGTCATTTCGCTCTTAAACGGAAGTATACGTAGGCAATGGGTATATAACTACATCGGTATTAAAACGATCCGTTAATAAGTCACCGTTGTTCACAGATGTAACGGCACTTCGTAATCGTTGTGAGACGATGCCTTCTAGGGCTTGTTCCTCGTTCGAGTCGGACCGTCCACAAATAACGAGGCACACTGATGTCGTTGACGGTACGTCCTAAATTTTCTAAAGGTATAATTATAGATTTTAAAACCAATTTCCTTTGGGAAGACGTAGGAAGGATCCTACAAAAAAATGTGTCTCAATTTTGTTAGGGAACAAATGTTTGTTGTTGCACATAAATATATATTTACCCGTCTATGTGCTAAGGTAATGAATAAATTGTATGTATTGCTAAAAAATAATCTGGACTTGTATAGAAAAACACCTTTTGTATGGCAATCAAAGTTTATAATAATTTACCAAAACATTCAAAGATTTTCCTACTACTTAGAGTTTATAAAAATCGACTTAATACTCTATTTTTGGAAAAAAAAATTTATTATTTTATCAATTATTATTTGGGTGCAACATTATAATTAAAATTAATTTCATTAAAGTGATAAAATAATAAGAATTTACTATAATATATGACTCTTAATGTAATATTCATTTATTTATTACAGAAATGTATACATTATACTTACAGACTAAGCCAGTACAATAATATCGAGAAAATTAAAATAGAATATAATAAAGTTTATAAAACACAAATATACACAATATCGCTAATGTGAATTAACTCTGCGAACATATATATACGTCGATACTCGATAGTGTCGGAGACAGCATTCAGTAGGCGCAACGTCTTGGATAACGGGGGAATTTATAACTTTTATTTGTAACATATTCTTGCAAATAAATTATTATTATTATTAGGTCTGGCTTCATCACGCGACGACATAGATTCTATATCAGAATGGTATCGCACTCCGCGAATACCGGAAGAGCCGGACTGCTGCGAATATATGTTGCCTCGGGACTTTATGAGGTAGGCTGTTCAGATGTACAAACTAAACTATCTTATCGTAACGTTATATGTGAGAATACGTCAACCGCCTTTGTAATAACACTGATCTAAAGGATTCTATTGAAGTTTTGCCGTAATACATAGTTTTTCGTATAATATATATAAAAATTAAATTATATTATCATAGGATAACATGCATAACTGGTAACATTTCCGCCATAGATTTTACTAGACGAATGTTTGTTGTACAATTTATTGATTAAATATATATTATATCATAGCTAAACAAATAAAGAATTTTGAATTTTTCTTTTGAATTTTGATTGTATAAATATTTATATTTTAGTTCAGTAAGGACAAAATTGTATGTTTTTTAAAAACAGTATGCGCACGGGGTCAATTGCACATTCTCGAACATCGTCAATGGGGGTGGACGACGGCGGTGACAGAGACGTGGGTGACATACCTGACGGCTATTTGCCCATGGGTCCGCCGCACTTGTCCTCATCTGCCTCCGTTTGTAGCGGGACGCCTTCTACGGATCCACGGTTTAGGTATGATATTTCTTATATTTTCTCTCTTGGTTTTAAAAAGGGAGTGATTTTTCGGAATGTAAAATACTCAAGAAAAAGAATCACTAAAGCCACAAAAGCTCGTTTATACATAAATACAAAAAAATTATGTGCAACGATTACAAAATAATTCCAGCGAATACCAACTGGAACCGGCGACGTCCCACATATCCGAAGAGCGATCGACGCGCGCGTACAGCGTCGGAAGTCGGCCCGTGCGCACGGAGCGCGTCGAGCCCGCGTCGAGACTTCGAGCGTACAGTGCGGGCGCGAGACGACGCCCAGCGCACGCCAGGCCCACGGACGACCTGATGGAGATTGACTTCTCCGCTAATTCACCGCAGTCTAAGGTAAAGAGAGTATATTCAAATATATATATATAGGTACAGAACGGGCCTTAGAGAGCTTCAAAGGCATATTAAGTGCATGTTAATTGAATTGTATTTTGCATGGCACCGTTTAGTGTTAATATTTCCCTGCTTTTTATTTGTAACGCACAATAGCCCCAGAGGTCGAATTTCGACAAATTAATCATTATTTCATGTTAGGAGTTGGTTGAAACCAGCAAGGGGATCCTTCATCTACCGAACTATTACAGACCTCGATTAATCTTCGGAAATTTCGGAATATCATTTACCACATCAATTATGTTATGTGATCTTAAAGATGTAATTATTATAATTGAATAACAATTACAAAGTCTGTTTTGGGTACACAATTTACTGTTGCTATTGTCATTCCAGCCAACGATCGCCCGAACTCCGCCAACCCATTCAGACATACCAAAATCGAAACCAGTCGACGAATACGTCGACATGTCCCCCCGCAACGCCGGTTATGTAGAGATGAAGCCCGGCGAGCTGTTCACTCCCATCCCCTCGATCAACCCCATCTCCTCCCCGATGAACCCCTTGACCCCCCCGGACGGGTACGTGGAGATGAGCTATCGCTCTCGCACTCGCCCCATAGCTATAACGAATCGGCCGTCCTATTCCTCCCCCGATTCAGAGAAAGCTCTCCACGGATCGCAGACCATTTTCCCCTTTTCCCCCGACTCCCCCCCTGAAATCGAGCACGCGTTGAGCACCGTGAGGGAGATTTCGGAGGAGGGGAGAGACGGAAGAGAAGGACGAGTCGAAGTCTCCTCTTCGCCTCAGTACGTGACGTTGGCGAGGCCCGATTGCCTCAACAATAATAAGACTGCCAGGATCGATGAAAACAGAGGTATGTCTTCTCATATATAGGTGTAGAAGAATTATGATCTACCAAAATGGTAGGAACGGTATTTTTTGCATTGCATGCATTCCTTAATTTCATTTATTAAATACACCATATAGAAAAAGATCATGAAGATCTTTTGTTGAAGAATATATTCTTGATTTTCTAGTTTTAATGCCATATTCTTGAAATAAATTCTATTTATTCGGTTTAAGTATGCCAATAAAGTCGGAAACACACTCACGTGTCGTGACGCGCCAGAAGCAGATTGGTTTCATACATTTAATATGATTAGAAACATATTTGCATGTTGTGTCGTGTCGCAACACGTTCTGTCTAATCATATTAAAATATGCTTCTGGCGCGTCACGACACTCCACGACACGTAAGTGTGTTTCCGACTTTAGTTGCCATTCGGGACCCCTCACTCGTAAAAGTCCTACAAGTGTAAACGTCCACAGAGGGCGGGCGCCTTCACTACGCAGCTCTGGACCTGGAGGAGCGCACTCCCCCGGTCCCTCCCCCTCACCGCCTCTACACGCAGATCGACTTCGCCCGCAGCGAGACATACGCCGCCGACGCGCTCTAGCCAGGTATGCCTGCGTGAATAAGCTGGCTGCTCTCATTAGAAGCGCAGAAGTAGAGTAGGAGTGCCGGCGCTAGTTTTGCTAATGTCACTGCCAGACTTAATTTTCTAAAATGATATTCCAGATGTGTGCACTTTGAAGTCAGCGATCAGCCCACCGGACGCCTCCGCACGAGAACACGTACACGCGTACGTACGTATACGCAACAAACGGGATTATCAAATTTTGTTAGGAAATTTTAAATCACGTTGACGTCGCCAAAGTGTGTGTTCTACAGTTTTATACCACGTGTTACTCAAAATCATAAGTTCTACCTCCGTATTCTACGCGTTGACATTTGTAAAGACTAAATTGTGAGACACGTGTTGGAATACGGGCCCCGTAAGTGAAGGGAGTTTCAATAATTGAGAACGTGGCTTAAGCGATGTTGTACAAAATCTGGTTAAATCGAATGTTATTTTTTTGTTATTTTTCTGTTATTGATTTGAAATATTAAGTTTTGATCGAAATTAAGTTGACTCGGGTCGCTCGCTTCTGTTTAAAATGATACATTTAAATCTTTCACGGCGACACCCGTATGGGCCGTCGAAAAGATTGAACACTTGTCGTCGACGAAGACCGGACGGTCGATTCGCTCTTCGTCGCCGGTCGAGTTCGCGCTTTGCGTCTGTTGAATATTTGTAAAAAGTTTATGTAATTTAGATTTTCACATAGCTTTCGTACGTAGGACCTATTTGTATATAACGATTTTATATCAAAAATATTAATCGAGCCTTTTAGCCAATGACGCGCTTCCATATAGGATTTTTATTAAAGTGTTAAAAAAAATATTTTTCGTAATGCATAGTAAAAATACTCATCAATATTTTTGATATAAAATTTTGTCAAGTCGTATCATCAAAGTCGGGAAATCAAAGATCAGATATCGGTTAGGAGTTGTTGTTCGAATTAAAAATATTTAAAAATACAAAGTGAACTCGACACGCGATAATAAACGAATTTATGTTCAAGTTTCACAAATTTGGTTCAAACGTTTGTCGCGTTCACGTAAGCCACGGTTGTGAGTGAGGCCTAATTAGTTGACAGTTGTGTTCGTAGTTACAGCTCTGACCGCGAAATTAACGCGGACAGATGGTCACGTAGACGTGCGCGTACGTTCGAGGCCATTCTTATATTACATGTTCTATATAGCAAACAATATTTAGAAAATTTAACACAGATCTTAGTTATTTTCGTACAATTTTTTGTAATAAACAGTTAGAAAATAAAAAAATAGCAGAATTAAGGCCGCAACGTGACCACCTGTCACGCCTCCAGCCCGTTTGTTATAATGTTTATAACGAGAGTCCCATTTATTTCCCGTTTAATTTCTTATGAAAAGTGGTGCTCGTTGTATTAACGGCTCTCGGTATAGACAGGTGAACCTGAGCCTGCCCCTCGGCCCCTTCGGCCCCTTCTGCCCCTTCGTTACCTCAGAGATACCACCTGTGTTTAGTTCCTCGGCGTGTGACGCGTTATTTATTACGACACGTATACGTATAGTTTTAGTTCTCGCTTCTGTGGCCGTCGGTGACTGTTCGGGTTTGACCCGGTCGTTCTATAACTTGTTATTAACAATTTTATTTTAATTACGACGAAACGAGAGAACTTTGTTTGTTTGGAGTAAATGTTCCAAATGAAATGCGTTCAATTGATTTGTAGGTTTCGAATATTTGAGACAAATTGAGGCACAATCTTTCACAATGACTTGATGAACGGAATTTAAGTTTTTATTCTCTCTTTTCTCTCGTAAAGTTCAGGCTCAGGCTTCGTAATGATGTGTTCAAGAAATTTGTTTACATATTGACAGTTTACAGCTAGGTGATATTGTCTCTGGTTACGTGTTACACTTGTTATTGCGTGTTTCGTAGGTGATGGGCGTCTGATGTGCCGTACTTGGTTTATGGCAAATTATATGCCCAGTTTCTGGAAAGAAATCGCAAGTTTTTCATCTAAATCTTGTAATTGTCGAATGTTTGGTTGTGCAACTGGAATTGCTAGTGGGACCTCTAGGCCCTTAAATTTCCAGTACGGCAGGTTCCATGCGCTTTGTATCCAACGCCTTCCCTCCACCATTATTTTTATAATAATCTCATTTTATAAAATAGTTGAAAATTCTAGAAGTCGTAAATTTTGACACAACCTCTTGTATTAATTTGTAAATTGCATATCTCTGGTCCTTACCAGCCATACCAGTTAAACTAATCAAGCTTACAAAAAATACGTTAAAACGCCCAAGACGGTTAAATTAAACCGGAATACGAAAATTTTTATAATCTTGTATGGTTTAAATTAATAGAATAACCCAACCAATAGTTTCTGCAACTTCAATAAATTAATATCTAAACACGAAAGTCACTTTAGAATAGTGTTTCCCAACATTTTTTGGGCCATGCCCCACCTTAGTCATTCCGAAAATTAAAATTTGTATTGTTCACTTACCTTAATGAAAAACACAGCAAGTAAATTTTCAAAACATATAGCGAACAACTAATATTAAAACGGGGCGTGGGCCCCAGTTGGGGACCACTGGTTTAGAACGTTGACCGCGATTAGAACTGGGTATAATATTTCCAGAATAAAAATCCAGCCATCCATTCGGCAGCATCTGCGGCATATCGGACGCCTCAGTAATTATTAACTGACCCGTAGTCTGTTCTAGCTATGTTTAGCTCAAATAAGTAAATGTCGATCCGTTGTTGGGCACAATTAGGTACAATTACGCGGTTCTTCAAAGACGCCGATCTTAGTACTACATATATGCACCACTGATACGTTTTGTTCTTTTAATATAACTGTATAAGTAAATTTAAGCAGCTCTTGTATTTTTTATTTTCTGCATTTGAAAAATTATTGGAAGAACGAATATTATCATATAATCAAATTGCAGTTTATATAACTACCTCGCATGTCCAGAGAACCAAACATTACAGAAAACGAAAAAAATGTTTTAGATGGTAAAATTTATGTTAATAATAAATAAGTCCTTACTTCATTATTAAACCAGTTAAATGACATAAGAGTCTAAGAATAGAAAATAAATGTTTTTTTGACATACGAGGTTATCATTCTAGTGACGATATATGTTCCTCTTGACATAAATACAGCATCGTTTGATACAAATATGTAATAGGAGCTGCTTAAATTAAACTATATTGGTATATTTCAAATCGTTTTTACCGGAATGAATTAGGACGAAAGCGTTATACGTGTAAATCGACGACCCGTTCGTTAACGATCACTAAATAGAACTATTTTATATTACAATAGTATAATTAATGCTACTTTAGAGAATTTTGATAAGACCTTAGAGTCGTTCATTAAAAGCTCTCATACATTCTTTTTGCTTATTTCGTTTCCCTAAGTCAACTTAACTAATAGTTAACTTAAAAAACGGATATTTAATAGATAGTGTAACATTTTTCGTTGGAGATTTCTGCGGTTGTCTTTTTGCTCTCTTGTTCTGTTAGCGTTGGGTTCTTCTCTACTAAACTCGATTTAGTAGAATGTGCAAATTTTTATTTCCTCTAATACATTTATCCTCTGCGTCATCGGCCTTTAGCGCCCTGAGAACCCCACGCCGTATGGCCCACTTAAGTGCGGCTTCAAGGCCTTGAGGTACGACTGGTGCGCTAGCAGCATGAGGGGCTTGGTGTCTAGTTCCAACAATTCTTCCAATAGCTTCAAACATGTCCGCATTCTCCAAGCACAAGCGATAGATTTTTCAGTTAACTAATCCTTCAGCCTTACCATATCAACCCGTTATGAGCTGGTCGTTGATGCAGTAAATGTAGTATGCTATGTATGATTCACGGTAGACATTCCGACAGAAGCAATTTGACTAATTCTCATGTGTTCAATAATCTTCCACTACCAATCTTAATAACTTAATTTTATTTTGGTACAATGATTATCGTTTAATAGCTATTCTACTACAGTAATAATGAAAATTTCTATTGATAAGTATGTTATTGAGATTGGCCATAAGAGCTATAGGTTTTTGTCATTTACAAACTGAGGGAGCGTTCAAGTATTACGTCACGCAATTGGCTCCCACCGGACTTAGGTCGTATGTACGCTCACCGCCCTCAAGATGACGTAATGGGACCTATATGCCTGACTGAGTTAACACCAAATTTTATATATAATGTTATTTATTGAAGGCGTCTGATGAATTAATTGTATCCCCAATCTGGACCTCTTCTGGTCGATAAACTAGCTTTAAATTACCCGGAAAGGTAGCTTTCACGGCTACAAAGGTTCGGTGAGTGCAGTCCGTGCCCGAGGGTGTGTATAAAATTAGAGTCAAAATTCCTGATATTCGATATCCCAGAAAATTGCGTCGCCTCTTGGCGAATGTTTTAAGCGGTATTTAGTACAATTGGGCACAGCCGTTGTTTTTATACATACATATAGCGTTGTCTGGTGTCTGCGACTTTAACCAGTGTAAGTATAATTTGTTCAAAATACGAGTGGATAAGACTTAATTTAATTTATTTTTTAATTTAGGCGTAAGTTTGGCCACGTTTGCTGACGAGTCGCCAGGCGTCGGAGTTTATTTAATTTTAGCCTGTACGCAGATAGCTAGCCACCTCGCAATTATGTAGTTACATTTAGGTATATATTATACATTTACGAGTAGCGTATTTACTTTATTCCACATAGCTGTAAGGCGTCGAGTCGGCCCTAGTGTTAAGTGCACCCGTACCGAATAGCGTAAACGAACGGAACCTCCTTTTGTAATACGAGTTGTTCGAATATTCATATTTTACAAAGTGTTATATAGAGAAAATATTTATTCATAAGCACAAATACGTTTTACGCTAAGGGTCACAAAAGCAGATGAAAATATATTTAGAAAAAAGTTGCGTATTATAAAAGGAGCGTTCGGCAACATTGACATTGGTGGGAAACGTATTATACGACATCGAAAGCTAGTGTGAATGCGGCCTTATTATCGTATATTGTACGAGAAGAAGCTCCACGAGAGACGTCATGACAAATGGAGTTTTATTCTATACTAGTCCCATTGCAAGTTTAATAGGATTTTGCATAAAGATGTTCCTGTATCGGCGTAAAGTTTTTTTTTTTTAATATTATGAGTAAGTGTGCATAGTGAGCGTGTAGTTGCGACGGGAGCCAACCGGCGAGCACCGAGTGGTCGTTCTGCAAAGGTGCTATTCGTGTTAGTGACGTCAGCTTGCGGCTGAGCCATATCACAAGGCCCTAGATCTAGACTAACATCACTACTCTGACGTATTTTAGCTTTTGTAACTGAGTGCGGCTCTCGCTGAAATGTTTCTATCACATTTAAAGTTTTCTCTCGCATTTTCGTGGGCTCGCCCGATGTTATGTTTTATAAATTTCTAAATCTAATTTTTCGTACGTTGCGTTTTGTTTACTTTCATATCACGATTATATTGTAAATAAATAAAAGCTTTGGATTTGATTTTTGTTTTCTTTGTACCCATTTTACCTATTCGTAAACTTGTATCGAATTACGACCCACAAAAACTCTAATTTTAATTAACTTGAGTTTTTTCTAGTCAATGACGTGTGATCTTTCTTATCTCTAGTCGGGCCAATAAACCCGTATCGAGTATCGCGTTCTAATATACATTTTGTTAATGTAAGTATATGTTTGCCGATAAATATCTATAGAAGAGTAATACGTACCTAAGTGGCAAATCAAGTCTATCGCAACGTGTGTTCTCGTTATAAATAACCTTGGACTGTGATTTGTGAAAGACAAAATGTGTGACCACCTATTACTGGCTTTTAAAATAACACAGTGTACAAATAAAACTATACTAAACCGATAATAATATTTAATTTTATATAAGAAAGAGGATAATGCAATTCAGAAAACCCACGAATAAGCATTTATGAAATACAAGGGCATCCTCAAATTTCCATGGTCAAGAAATATCGATTAGATAACTTTAGATGCTGGTACTTAAAATCGAATGTATCATTCTGGAAGTCAAAATGAATTGTAACTCAAGTGGATAGTCTTGAAACAATACGATAAACACGCAATAAAATGACCGACAAGACAGTTTTTTCTCCGTTTATCAAACAAGTGAGTGTGTTATTACTTTTTTGTACAAAAAAAATGTAAAATGAGAAGCTAGATCGTAATTTTTGCAGTGTTTCGTGTGCGCGACGGTTTGTATGAATGTGCTAAGTAATGGTTGCGCTTATGGCTTCCCTGCGGTGCTGCTGCCGCAACTTAAACTTCCAGACTCTCCCATTCCACTTACCAAGGCCCAGGAGTCATGGATAGGTAGGTTAACTACATCAGGCCAAATATTTTAACTTTGTAGTTGTACTAAATAGTAAGAAAAACTAATGTAAATATGTTTTTTACAAAACTAAATAAGTAAGTGTAAGTTATTATTTCGCTTTAATAAACTTATGAATATATACAAAAATACGTCTATAATTCCTATGAATAGTAACCATGATCAAAATTGGTTATCCCATATCAAACCATTGAAAGTAGATATAGGTTACATTGATGCTTTGTGTATTGTAACGCCTATTAGAATTGAAGACGTGAGTGGATGAAGGTGATAAGTGCAATTTTTTAGATTTTGAGAAAATTGAAGTTAAAGTTTTGCTACAATTTTCTTTTGTAAGTCGCTTAAATGATTAGTTATGCCATGAATTTGAATGCAAAGTAGTGTGAATGATCCTAAATATTGAGGGCACGTTGATAATAAAACTCTTGCGATATTATTCGATATTATATTTAAAAAAAAAACTTAACATAACTCCTTCTTCCATGAACTAACTTAAACTATTTGTCCTTACGGCTATATAAAATTAGGTGCTAAGTACGAATATAAATAAACATGTTAAATTTTTTTAATACACAGAACCAGCCTCTGCAAAAACTTAAGCTATTATATTACTATATCACACTTGTGATCATGCTATATATAAAAAGATATTATCCTTGGCTTAAAATTGACTCAAAAAAATAGCGATATTCTGGCTTCACGTACTTTAGTTGGTCTCGGAGATTCTGTTTTTTTTCTACTGAAACAGTACCATACTTACCAGTCACACGTGGAATTTCTAAATTCGCGGACACCTTCGATTTCTTTTTTAATATGTCCACCTTTTTAAACGGTGTCATTTCATCGTACGATTCTTTGTATAGATAAGATCCATACTCCTCAACTCGAATCCATTTGATACCATCCCTAAAACTGATTTTTCTATTGCTTACATCTTTTTTCCTATTTATTAAATTGAGATTATCTTGTAGCTCACCAATTTTTCTGAAATGTTCTGTCATATTAATCACTGTATTATTACGAGAAGCTTTGCAAATGATATCACGGTACTGGTCAGGAACGAAAACTGTGTCATGCTTTCTGAGGACTTTTTCTATTCTACCAAAATCACGATCCGAATCTAAATAAGAATGGCCAACTTCAGGAAACTTGTGATCGATTACTTTGAAATATCCTTTAAGGATAAGATATTGATAAAGTGAAATCATGGTGAAATTTTTGTTTTGGCCGGCACATGAATCTGACCAAATTAATAGGTGATCTTTGTTTTGGCAACTTGGATCTATTTCCACAAATCTTAGAAGTGCGCTCGCAACTTCGGCACTTCCGCGGTCCGCAACATCTTCAGTCCAGGTACAACATACGGCTTTTTCTTGGCTTCCATCACACATGAATACCCAGGTTGTAAAACCACAGTTGACGCAAGTAGAATGCTTTTGATGTTGTTAGCTTTGGTAATGGCATGGTTTGTTGTAAATCCATTGTAACGTACACAATATCGCCATCTCGAGTTGGTTTTCTACGGTCAACTTGCATAGCTTCAACAGCAGCATAATAATTTGACTTATGTTCGTCATTTAAGTCTCCAGCATCGCACGTAGCGCACGTATCACTCTTTGGGTATCCAAACGACAGGTTGAATTGTGTGACAAAAATTTGGTTATATGAAGTTTTCTTGATACGGTATTTGTCTGGTAGGTCCTCATTATGACATATTCCTAAGTATAGACTGTGCATCTTGGTCACATTCAGTAGCGGTGATAAATAGAGCTTGTTCATATTTTTTTTTCGTGAGTAATGCGATTGTTCAGCAGGAAAACTAGAAATATGTTCTTTTATACGGTTAACAACGTCATCGTCCATTTTGTGAGGACGATTCTGATGTCTACCTCTCTGATCTGGTTTTGGAGCTGCAAGTCCTTCCTTGATTCCTTTTATAATGAGATCAATTTTTTTGCGACCTATCTGATAAATTCCGCAAAAACCTAACTTGCATATTTTTGTCGTAATTCCATTCTTTTTTACGTAGTACTTGAAGGACGCAGATTTATGATTTCTAGCATTACAGCGTTTATTCGCTACAGGCATACTCTCAATGCTGCTGAATAATAGGGCATTCTTACTATTGGTGTCCAGGGAATAATAGCTGTTTAAAATAGACTGCCGATCATCAATGGAAAAATTATCTGAGCATTTAAGCCTGCACTTCTCGTGACACAAAATCCCTACCTTAATCTTTTTTTTCGGAATTATCTCTCCTTTGTAAGATACATATTCCTCTCCTTTTGCTCTAGCTATTGCTGCATAATTTTTCTTCCAAGATTGTTCATTCCTCGGCCGTTTTTTTGATTTATTTTCTTTTGGTGGAAATACTTTGCGCTTTTTTGGCATAATATTTTCTTCCAAATCCTTATTTGCATGCTGTTCACTAGTGGAGAAAATAATGGGGTTTTCCTGCCGATCAGCATATTCATTGTCAGATTCATGCTCATCAACGCCACAAGAGCTAGTGCTATCGGGGCTTTCAGGAATGTAAATGTTATCACTACCGGAAGAAAAATCTTCATTTCTATTCTGCAATGGAGATACATCCTCCAAGACTGTGTATGACTTTTTGTTTCGAAAAGAAAGTCCAAAATAATCTATATCTTCCTCTAGGGAATTCTCTATTACATCTGAAATTTCATCATCTACAGAGACAGGAACTTTCGCAAGGCTGCCAATATAATTTGTGCCTTGACCGCTAGTGTTCATCTCAACCGTTCACTCATTCATGACATACGACTCACCGCCTCAATCACATTCAGCGCCTAGCCCGCGTTTGAAATACCTCAACGAGTTTGAAGCGGTACAAAATGTGTGTTTGAGGTGATGCGACATTTGACAACTTTGAGTGTGACATTTGAGGTGCCTCATGTATGAGGTGCGCAACACTACACAATAGTGTAGATACTGTGATTGAAACAATGCAAGCAAATCAAAAATTAGTAAAGATCTAACCTGCAATATTTTTGAGGTAATGATTATTGTATACATCGTTGTTTTGAGCTATTTCGTTTACATGGCCACTTAAAGCAGCGTTTACCAACAATATTGCTCTTGCTTTGGCTCCTGCCATATTAATTTCGCTTTAGAAATGTCAATTATGTATTTTAAACAATATTTTACACAGTATCCAACAGACACAAATCAACAATAACAGAAAGCGCGCGAAACTACAACGAACGAACGTAATCAACACATTTGAACCTCTTGAGTGAATGAAGGTGTTATGTTAGCGACTTAACACCTTCATTCACGGAGAATAGGGTCGCTTTATTCGAACATAGTAAGCGCAGTGGTTATGTTCGTACATATCACCTTCTTCAACGCACAAAATGTAAAGTTTTTATTTTGTTGATTTGGGAGAGGGTGATATGTGTACATACCTCTTTCATCGTCTGTAATTTTTAAAATAAACTAAACATAACACCTTTTTCAAAATTTTATTTCCAAAAATAAGCTTTATATCGACGGTTTTAAGGTTTGTAGTAATTCAATTATACATATCACCTTCATCCACACAAAAAACACCAAAAAACGAAAATACGACATATCACCTTCATCCACTCACGTCTTTAATTATTAGGTAAAACTATATTGCTTTTTTTTTATTATATTTCAGCGGCGGTGTTCACAATTGCAATGATGGTTGGGAATTTTACCATGCCCATATTAATGGGCAAATTAGGGCGTAAGAACTCCCACTTTTTTGTCATTATACCCGTAACTGTAGGCTGGCTTTTAATCGTCTTCGCGTCAAATGTAGAAGTACGTATTAGATCGTAAGCGAAATTCCATAGAAAAGATTCTATAGATAAATTTATTATATAATTATATATTTCCAGATGCTTTTAGCGGCAAGAATCATGCAAGGTATCTCATTTGGTCAAGTTGTTCCTATTCGAGCCGTCATGATCGGAGAATACACCAGTCCAAATAATCGAGGAGCTTTCCTCAGTATGAACGCAGTCGCACAGATATCAGGGATATTCGTCGTCCATCTCTTGGGCTATTTAGTCAGCTGGAAGACAACTGCGGCCATTTGTATTCTCTTTTCAGTTATAAGCTTTGTCATGACATTTATTATTCCCGAATCGCCAAGTTGGCTCGCAAGTAAGGGCCGGTACGAGGAGAGTAAAAAGTATTTTGAATGGCTAAGGGGATTGAACGAAAACGATGAACTTATCGAGTTAATTCAAGCCAGAAAAGATTACAGAGAGAACGAGAACAGATCGAGTTTTAAAGAGATTATTTGTAAAGTGGAGTTTTATAAGCCTATAATTATAACGTTGCATATTTCCTTATTGGGATATATGTCGGGAGGCATGATTATAGCCGTCTATGGGCCTACAATCATATCAGAGGTCATGGGCACCGGGGTCGATCCTCAATTCTGGCTCGTTTCTATAGATATATTACGGATACTAACCAGTTTCTTTGCGGTTTACGTTATGAAGAAGTTTAATCGGCGAACGGTCACCTTTTCTTCTGTTGGGTTATGTTTGGCAATGCATGTTGCTGTAGTGATTTATATATGGCTGGTAAAGATTGGTGTGATGTGGCATGTGTACTGGATACCGGTAGTATTGCTTCACCTGCAATGTTTCTCTATATCGGCAGGCATAGTACCGATAATTACCGTCATAGCGGGAGAAGTGTTCCCTCTGGCATATCGAAGTTTAGGTATCAGTGTAAGTACAGCCATCGCAACTGCGTTCCACTTTGTGATATTAAAGACTTTCCCGTACCTGGTAACTATGGTTGGCATTGAAGGCGTGTACGGAATTAATGCCGTTGTAATTTGCTATTGCATGATCGTCTGTTGGTTCATGATGCCGGAGACTAAGGGCCGCACATTGCAACAAATCGAGGATAGGTTTAAAGGTATTGAGAAAACTGTGGAAGAAGCTCAGCCTTTAAGCGAACTTGCTAAATATAGTTAAGTAGGTACTTATTAATAATCGTAGTTAGAAATAAGGTTTATTAAAAATCATGACAAAATGTTTTTTTATTTTAGTGTTTAAAAGTTCTTCTTATTCGGTACATTTTTGACAGTGCGGTCGTGATCGCTATGTAGACATCGCCATCGTTACCTATTAGAGGTCATCCTGCTGCACTCATTGAGTGAACCTCCTACGGCAGACTCGATCTGGTCAGTCCATCGTGTAGGTGACGTTCCGCGCGGTCTAGTACCTTCCACCTTCCCTTAGACGACAAGGCCGTCTGTGGACTGATCACCACGCCGAGATACGTTTGTACGAAACCCCAAGCATTCTCCTCCAGCACCACATTTCCAGAGCGTCTATTTTCTGCCTTTCTACGTTTCAGCCGCGTATAGAAATAAGTGTCTTCACGAACCTGGTCTTCGTGGATTTTTCTGTTTCTCCATCGCCATGTGATGACCATACGTCTTTTGACCTCATCGATGCATCCGCCGTTGCTTGAAATCTGAGGCCCAAGATAAACATAAGATTGGATCACGTTGTATTTCCCGATTTGCTATGTAAAAGTTACCGCTTATTATTTCTTTAAAATAATTCCATAGGCATAACGTATTTACATTAACTATATATTGCAAGATAATAATATATTCTATTATAAGCAAGTCTGAAACGCAACTATACTTTTAAGGAACGCAAATTGCATGTGAAAAGTACGTGTGTGACTTGTTTTATTCCAAACTATATATCACATAAGATGCTAACAATTTGGAACTGATTTATCTAAATAGACCGAAAAAATATGTATTTATTAAGGTTTTAGAGTTGTAAACAATAAGGAAAAAATTTACCTAATAAATAAATACCAAAGGTTATTTAAAATAATAGTCTGTGTTAAATTCTAAATCTCGAACTATTATATAATTATGCAAATAGTTTGTTTCTAATTAAAAGACTGTTAAAAGATTTCCGTAACATAACGGTGACCTTATTTGATAGAATATCATCAGGAAATAAAAAACCTGTCTTTATACCAGCATAGGTGGGGGTTGGAGATGCAGAAAATTCGCACTGGTCTCGCATAACAATCTAAGTGACGTCTCACGAATTTCGCGCGAACATTAATAGTAAAGAAAACGTGTATTCTTTATTTATTTTTATTGAAATAGTCATAAAGATAATTTTTATTGCCTGTTTAATGAATCGAGTGTTCAGTTTGTAACGAAAGAATGACGGACATCGACAAGAGCCTCATCTCACCGTTTATAAAACAAGTAAGTATTTTGCTTGTACATGTTTAAAAAATACGCATTGATTTTCCAAATTCATGGCAATGTTAAAACATTTTGGACATTGACATATTTCGTAGATTTAATAATTATTTTACTATACCATTCGATATAAAAAAATTTTTTCTTAAATTTGTCTTGAGTTTCAAATAAGTAGGCTACAAGTAACGTCCTGTTGCGTTATAATAGTATTTACATGCGCTTAACGACGTCTGTGTAATTCAATAAGGCTCGATGAAAGTGAAATTAATAAGGAAACTGAAACTCGGTCGTAACTGGAGTAAAGGCGACAAGCGGTCTGCTTCAAAGATCATGATTTACTTTTATTAATATAAATCATATTAATAAAAGCCCCGAAGAGACCAGTCTCTCACTTCCTATCCTGACATACACCTCTCGCTATCTAGCTTTTCAATCACTATATGTTCGTCAGATATTGGAAGTTTTGTCTTGTCCTATATTATGTAGATGGTGTTCAATGTAACATACAAGAACAAGTTCGAATCTCCTCCGTTCTATTCCCAATTCTGATACCAAAACAAATTTACATCTAACATCCTACCTAATGAATAATCGAATACAGAAAGTTCCTTCATAACTTATAACAAGATGTTAGAAATACAAACCCAATTACATATTACAGTGTTTCGTGTGCGCGACGGTTTGTATAAATGTGCTTAGTAATGGTTGCGCTTATGGCTTCCCTGCGGTGCTGCTGCCGCAACTCAAACTTCCAGGATCTCCTATACCACTCACCAAGGCTCAGGAGTCATGGATAGGTAAATCAACAGTATTTGAAACTTGTGTTTGTTATTGGTTAGTCGTAATAGTATACTATATAAGTACTCATAAATTCATTAGTTTAGATTTTGACATATAAAGACAGCTAGCGCTAAGTGTCAACTCTGATTTTTGTCCTGAATCATCTTTGATAGTTTGAACTTAATTGCAATATTTTTTTCGACACTGTACCTACTGTGAAGTTTTTCTTATACGTCATTTAGAAGTAGCAATCACCTCAAATTAAAGATAAGGTGAGAGCGAGTCTTATATGTCGAGTCGAGTATGCCGAAACGTGCAAATGTCCAAACCCCGAACCAGATTAAGCGCATTGATTTACCGCTAACCACAGACCCATGGATGTTGCTATCGATTAAGTAACAGGACTTAAAACATGGCTTCATTAAAACTATATAACAATTAACACACTCAGAGATAAAATCAAATCAGGAAAATCTAAAAAATATCACTGCAATACTGCAGATAAGACCTAACTACGAGAGATATGTAGTTCAATATTTACAATTACCTACGCCCAATTTATTAATTATCTTGTTCTGCGATATCATACATAGATTACCCCAGACAAACAAAGATTTAAAATTATTTAAGGTTTATATTTGGTGTATGTGCGAAAAATGAATGGAGTTGTCTCCATTGAAATCAAATTAAATTGTGTTATAACAGTGAAACGCAAGTCATTTATATTTTCTCTATGTAATATTCTAGTTAAAGATAAGTTAACTACAATTTTTTCGGGTTAATTAATAATTTTAATGAAAGAGAAATTATTTAAAATATTAAAGTGAACTTTCATTTAATCGTTGTCTGGGCCAACTAACGGTCTCGACGCACGCATTACTTTCCATCGCTAAAGGTTAATATAGTTTTGAAAATAATATATAGAATACTAGCTGACCCGGCAAACGTTGTTTTGTCGTGTATATTATTACTAGGAAAAAAAATTTTAGTTCAATAAAAAATACTATCTACTATAGTAAAACTAAGGGGTGACAATTAAGGGTTGTATGTATGTATTTTTGTATGCTGTATCATATAAAATTAAAAAATTTTGTCTAAAAAATAAAAATTTAGGGGTGGGACCACCCTTAACATTTAGGGGGATGAAAAATTGATGTTGTCCGATTCTCAGAATTACTGAATATGCATAAAAAATTTCATAAAAATCGGTCGAGCCGTTTCGGAGGAGTATCCCATACTCGAACATTCTGAAACGAAATTTTATATACATATTCGAAATTAAGAAAGCAATTTCTAAATTAATAGAAACTTATTTAAAGTTACCCAAACATCCTTTCACTATAAAAATGGAGTCACTCAAATATTTAGATTTTTTTAATTAACCTAAGGTGCTTATGCCTATCTGATGGTAAGTGATACCGCCGCCTCTGGACACTCACATTGCCAGATGGTTCGCAAGTGCGTTGCCGGCCTTAAAACTAAAGTAGACTAAATATGTATGTATTTTTACACTTCTGCGATCGCTCAAAAGCCATTAGGCCGCAAGTTGCCCTCCTTTTCATTTAATTATATGTATATTATAATTGTGTATGCTACTATGTTATCAATAAAGCTTTAACTAGTGGAAATTGTCCTATATTTTGCTTGCTGTTCGGTTTGTTTACTATATTTTCTTCAAATTACTAAGCTAAAGTAGTTAATACACTAAAGCTGAAAAATATATTTCACTTTAATATAGAAAAAGCCAACGTGCTCGCAGTACCATATCACTCTGTGAGAAAATAAAAAGTATTTTTGATTGGTTTATCATAAAGAGTTACTAATTGCAGCGTCAGTGGCAACAATAGCGATGTTGGTGGGCAATTTCAGCATGCCGGCGGTGATGGACCGATTGGGACGAAAAAAAGCACACTTTATAGTCATGATACCCACCGCCATTGGGTGGTTACTCATCGTATTTGCAACGAGTGTAGAGGTAGGTCGTATATATGTACGTACTTTTCATACATACTGCATTCAATGATTTTAAAAACTTGTCTCGTCTGGGAATCGAACCGACTCAAATGTGAAAAACAACATCACTTACTTTTCAAAATAAATTATAGTTTTCTTTCAGAAAAATATCACATATTTTCGGTACTTTCCCGTGATGTCCCAATCCTGGGACATCAAGGGAATATTACCGATATATAAGTACCGAGCTATACTATGCTATATGGCACTGTACAGTGTACATATAGCATAGCCTCTATAATCGAATATATTTCACCTATAAACTATACTCGTCCAAACAACTTAGGGTCCTTTAAAGAGAGCGTGCCGACTCACAATGATCCGGCAACACACTCGCTATCTGACTATGTGAGTTAACATCAGATTTGCTCCCTCTTCTATAAAAAAATGTAGCTTGAATTTCAATCTATAACAACATTTAGATAGAAATTTTGTAACCAAACGGTGAAAATTTCCGACACTAGTTCTCCGCAAGTCTAACAGCTTACCAATTTCCAGTTTAAGAACCTTATTTGTTCAATCCAAATTCAATATGTTAATCAGCCATTGCTAATTGGAAATAAATCGTATACATAAACCTACAAGCACTCGCATTACATTAAAACTCTTGAATAAATCCTCTTTCTCTTTTCAGAGTTTAATTCTAGCCCGTATCATGCACGGTCTATCCCTCGGCCAAGTCGTTTTAATTCGCGCCGTTATCATCGGAGAATACACAAGCCCCAGAAACCGAGGCGCTTTCCTCACTTTGATATCCGTCGCCCAATCGTCTGGAGTGTTCTTCGTCCACCTGCTGGGCTCCCTGGTCAGTTGGCAGATCACCGCCGGCATCAGCGTCCTCTTCACGATACTCAGCTTTGTGATGACCTTCATCCTTCCAGAATCGCCCAGCTGGCTCGCAAACAACGGGAGATATAACGAATGCGAGAAGCATTTCCGGTGGCTCAGAGGCGATGGCGAAAACGAGGAATTGAACGAATTGATCCAGGCCAGAATAAAACACAACACCGAAAGAGCCGTGAATATTGGTGAGCTCATTCGAAGTATGGAGTTTTACAAGCCAATAATTATCAGTCTGCACGTGTCGTTGATAACATATTTCAGTGGAGCCATGACCATCGCGGTTTATGGAACGACCATCGTCTCAAACATTATGGGATCGGATGTCGATGCACACTTCTGGCTGGTGTGTTTGGACGTGACCCGAATCGTCACCAGTTTCCTCGCCGTGTACCTCGTCAGAACGTTCAAAAGGCGGACCGTGTTATTCAATTCCGTTGGCTTGTGTCTCTTGATACACGTTTTGATTGTCTCCTACGTGTGCGTCAGAAATTACGTATCGTTCGATTACGTAGCGATTCCGGCTTTGTTATTAATTCTGCAATGCGTGGCTCTCTCCTCAGGGATATTGCCGATGAATAACGTGATAGTCGGCGAAATATTTCCTTTGGCGCATCGCAGTGTAGGAATAAGCGTCACCACGGCAATTGCGACCGGCTTCCATTTTGCCGTTCTGAAGACATTCCCTTACCTCCTGTCGGGGGTGGGGATCGAGGGGGTGTACGGGATCTACGCGAGTGTCATTTGCTACGGGTTTTCTGTGATATGGTTCGCGATGCCCGAGACCAAGGGACGGACTTTACAACAAATTGAGGATCGGTTCAAGGGAATCCAAAGAGTCGTCCCTGAGATGGAGAGTTTGAATAACAACCAAAAGTGCTAATTCTCGAAATTCATTGTAATAAAATACTCACTTAAGACATTTAGCATAACCTGTGATAAAATTGTGTAACGTAACATATAAAGGAATATAATGTTTGCGAAAGTTGAAATGTAAATTTCAAATTGAGGGTAGATTAATGAGGTAGTTTATAAAGTACAAATTATTTATTATTTAAAAGTACAAACTCAACGAGAGCATTTACATTATAAAGTACAAAGAACAATTAATTCCAAACACACATCAATGCAGAAGTCAACTTATTTTTATCAGTCTGCATTCATAATACATTAATTATTAAATACCTTATATTTGCTAATACTTGGCAAAATATTAAAAATACTTGTTTTATTAAAAACAGTCTCCGAAATACCACATCCTGTGAACAACAAAAGAGTATTATTAATGTATTAGAAATTGTTAATAAATATTATTTATCATTATAAAAAATATATGAATAAAATTTATAAAATACTGCAACCTTTTAGATTGACAAATAATGAAACAGAAATCTGAGGCTGAGCCTCAAAATAAGAACCTAAAAAGGTTGTAGCGCCACTGATTTATTTTATTTATAGATTATTTTATATTATGTTAATTTTTTTAATTTTTGACGTTGTTCATTCAGATAAAATAAGTCAATTGCCAAAATCGCAATTTGAGCTTAAATTTGGTTATAACATATTAGTTCATTTAAAATTTGACTAATTAAAGAAGATTAATATGAAATTTTGTTCTATTTTAATATTGGTCACATTAAAAAAACACTATAGCGACCTTATGCCTTGGGCGGTGACCTTCCGTTGAGCACTGCAGCCGTGTCCTTCCACGAGCGGCCTTTAGCCTTGGTCGCGGTCACCTTCCGCCTGACCACCCTTGTGACAGTTACCTCTTCATCTGACAGCAAACGCCTTTTTGGTTTCGGCTTCACCTAAGTACCGACGCATGGTTCATATTTATAGTCTTAGATAATTCAGGTGTACAAAGTTTTTGATTTCCACAGAGACCATTTTCCAAAATTTTGTTGTAATATTAAAAAAATCCATAGAAAAGAATCCGTTGTATGGAACTCCATTCAAACATAAAATCAAGCGATATCTTAGTCAAAATAGTAAAAATCTAAACAGTACAGAAATGTCTTAAAGTCAGTTTAACGGCTAATTATAATTCTATGTATTTATTGAAAAATTCATTATTTTTTAAATCAAGTAATTTTCCAAATAAACATTATATACACAAGGTTCTACCTTTTTATTTTCAATAGTGAAGGAATCATCGAAGATGTCTCCGCTGGAGTCAGCTTTGTTTTCACCGATGACAGCACAAATGGGACTGTCGAATGACACCTGCAACAATATACAATTACTTTTACCTTTTTACAAAACTTTTTTTTTGAGAAAGTACCAGCCTGCCGTGAATAATTAATTATTGATTTTTATTTTTATATGTTTCTAACGAAAAGACTAACTACTGGATCATATTAAAAAGCACAATGTCCAGCCATGCGAAGACTGGACAGGGCGTGATCAGTGAGACAGATATGAGAATCTACCTGCGCCTCTGAGGGTACAGGGCGGTTTCAGACTAGCGTTTTTACGCGCGTATAAGCTCGTCTTTGGACGCACATGTAGACACGTATAGGCGCGCCTTTAAGCACGCACGCAACTAGCGTTGACGCGCTTCTAAGCTCGTATAAGTTCGCAGTTCTGGGTAGAGTGTATTATAGTGACCGGTTCTGTCTTGTTGCAATCATCGATGACACCCAGCATCTGTTTCGTCTTCTCAGTGGACGGCGAATAAGTAACGCAAATAGCAATGTGTCTTCGTCAGAATCCATGTTGATACTGACACGATGCCACTACCTACCGGTTCGAGCGAACACGCCGAAATATGCCAGTTTACGCGCGTCCGGTTTTTTGAAGCGCGTATGCTGTAACGACCGTATACGCGCAGAAAAATGCGCTAGTCTGAAACCGGCTTTACGGGATATACATACAAGTTAATTAAAAAGCATTTATTATAACATTTTTTGGGTTAAATAATAAAATAAAATATACCTGTCGCAAATTTTTCTTAGATTTTTCTTCCGACGTCTGCGTTGAAATGTTCGTGTGATTCTGTTTCGCGGGGGGGCGTGGCCTTTGGAGCCATTCTTGTTCGTTTTACTTTCACAACGAACGAAGGTTCGAGGGACTTCCTTTTCAAAGTTATACTTTTATTCTTATCCGGTTCCGTATTTTCATCTTTCTTTTTCCTACTTCTGGTTTTAACTATACCATTACGCTTCGTTGTTCTTCTCTTTGGTTTAGATTCATCAGCGTTGTTATCACCGTCTTCATCGCTTTCGGGTGCTTTTTCGTCGCTTTCATCATCTACTATATCATTTTTCTTTGTCGCTTTCCGTTTCTTGCTCGATGCGAATTCTAATTTGCTCGATTTCGTCTTTCCCTCGGTTTTAAGGTAGCTTTCAAATATTTGTCTGCATTTTGTGTAATCGACCGGGTCTTTTGGTTTTAATTTGTTTATATATTCAAAAAACTTTATTAACTGATCTGAAAAGAAAATATGTAACATTAAAGTCAAAAGTCAAAAATCATTTATTCATATAGGTAACACAATGTACACTTATGAAAGTCAAAAAAGAAATATTACACCATGTTCCACATGACATTTTAAGTAATCAATAATAATAACATAAATTAAAAACACAGACCTATATCAGCAGGACGCATGGTAAAATAGGAGCACGCACTTATATTCTCGTGAGAACAACACGCAAACACATAGTCGAAATAACTTACATCACCGCATACACGAATTCAAGTACGACCAGTCACCACAAGTAGCACCCGTTCACGAGTATGACGCATGGCCAGCCATCGGCCCCCTCGCCATATTTTAGGGAGAGAGACAACCCGACGCATGGACGGCTTATTATTACAATTAGCATATATTACTATTGTTAACAAGCTCATAGCTAAGTTAATACTTTGGATTAGTATATAGGATGGCCTTCACTCCATCGGAGGTCGAGTACTAGTGTAAAACTTATAAGACATGGACTTACTGTAGTTATTAGTGTACTCAAATAAAGGCTATTTTTATTTTATTAAATTTTATTATATAGGGAAGCTAGTAACATATTAGAGTTTCTATTGGTCATGTATTTTTTTTTAATTTAACCATTTTAATGGACCTGCGACAGAGCTAATAAATGAATATTGTAAGTAAATTAACCTATTGAAGCAGAAAATGGGGGCTGGATGTTCAAAAAAATTACTGGCCTACCTGGTCTCACAAAAGTTACATAAACTGGTTGGAAGCATTAACAGAGTCTAGAGTCAAACATTAAGTTATATTGAGGGATTAATTTAATATGTATCAAATATTTTTTGATTTCATACAAATTTAAGGCAGAAGAGCACAATGGAGGCAGATCTTTTTAATATGCATAGTACCTATGGTTGGTATTATAACTCTAAATAAACCACTCTGCTTATGACTATTACTTGTTTTTCTAAGCTAAAAAGAAGAAATTACTCACCAGGTACATTATCATATTTCTTAGTGATTTCAGCACGAACATTCTTCATGAAGGCTTCCTTCATTCCCTGCACTGTCTTCGGTTGGGACAGAACCTTTTCCCAAGGTAGGTCACCAACAATCCACTGAAGCATGTTATACCCCAAGATTTCCAGATCTCCACGCATTGTTGATACTAAAATTATGGGAAGTTTTATTTAAATGTTTGAGCTTTATGAAAAGCGAGCTGTTATTACATAGTGTAGTTGAACATCACTATATTAGAACCCAATTTACATGGGCAGAGTTTTAATATATCTATTAAAGGATAATTGTAAAAATGTTGCTCTGACACACATACATATACATAACACATATTGCAGATAAATAAGGAACAGTAAATGGCTATTGTTGCAAACTATGAGAGAAGTTATGATGTTGTAGTCTTAAGGGTAAAGATAATGCATCTTTTGTCTTATAAATAATTATCACCTGGCCCTTTTACATTAATACATAAAACGGCACACTAGTAGACTGACATATGACAAAACGGCGCTTAATAAAGCGATACGTGATTTAAATCCCTAATATCCGAAGCTAACGAAGCAGCCTTGAGTAAACACCTGGAAGGATTGACATCAACAAAAGCAACCGATTACTCGCTCTGGAGAGCCTGCAAAAACCTAGCACGACCACGACCACTACACCAAAAGCCACCACTACGAACGCAGAACGGGCAGTGGATTAGAACGGAACGAGAAAAAGCTGAAGTTTTTGCTAATCATCTCAGTCAAGTATTCAAACCGAATGAACCCAGTCCTAATGTAGATGAATCGGATATCGAACAAATCATTGACCAAGACCTGCAACTTGATCTACCATTAAAACTAGTGACACCACGGGAAATTAATCGCAACATCAAATCTATGGACAATAATAAAGCACCGGGCTATGACTTAATAGTCAAAAAGGTCCTCGAAGAATCACCACGCAAAGTGATAGTGTACCTTAAAATGCTTTTTAATGCAATCCTAAGAGCTGGATACTACCCAGACTTATGGAAGGTATCACAAGTGACTATGATCCACAAACCTGGAAAACCGATTCACGAAATCACATCATATAGACCCATTAGTCTGCTGCCTATTATGTCCAAATTATTTGAGAAATCTCTACTACATAGAATGCTGAACATAATAAAAGAAAAGCATATCATACCAGATCATCAGTTTGGCTTTAGGCAAGAACATGCCACAATAGAACAAGTCCACAGAGTATGTAGAAAAATAAGAAACTCCCTCGAGAGGAGAGAATACTGCTCATCTGTATTTCTTGATGTACAACAAGCCTTTGACAGAGTATTTTTGGCATTGGCAGACCCTTTGGCATAAGGGTCTTTTGTTTAAAATAAAATCCTTATTGCCACACACATTCTATAGGATCCTACAATCATACTTGTCCAACAGAATATTTCAAGTTAAAGAAGGTGCCAGCACATCCGGTTTTTACGGAATCTGCGCAGGTGTGCCACAGGGCTCAGTTCTCGGACCCGTCCTGTACACACTGTATACACACGACCTACCACAGAGCCCAGAGATTACTATCGCCACCTTCGCTTTGCTTTTGTACAAAACCATTCTCAAACCCAGCTTTACACATATGGAATACAGCTTTGGGGATCTGCTAGTGCCTCAAATATAATAAACAAAGAGCTCAAAATTACATACTCAAGCAAATATCAAACACCCCATGGTTTCTCAAAACAACAGAAGTCCATGAATTTCTTAATATGCCCATGGTAAAAGAGGAAATAATCACACATGGGTATAACTACAAACTAAGACTTCAAAAGTACCCCAATCAGCTAGCAGGACAGCTAACTATACCAGAAACTACTCAACAACTAAACAAGCGGCGAGACATTTTTGACCAGGACAACCCAACAGACTGAGTTTAAATAAGAATAGGCAGGCTCCGCTGGGAGTAGCGCCTAACACGTCAATAAGCACTCAACGTATCTACTTATAGTCGCAAAGACTGATTGTATGATTAACATTAAAAAAAATAAAAAATACATAAAACTTGTGATGCAGCCTTTAATGACTTAGAGGTTTTTTCAAAGAATAAAGTAGTTTATAAACCAATTATAAATATACATATTTAAGGAACATAATTTACCTCCCAAATGAGCATCTCTGCTTGTATACTCAATGGTGCCATTGTGAGCACACTTCGGATCAGGTTTGAACTCTTTATCATTTACCCGTGTCGCCAGACCAAAGTCAACCAGATATGCCTGATTCTCTGTTCCCTTCTTAAGTCCTAATAGAATATTTGCTCCCTTAATATCTGCATGCACATAGCCTCTACTGTGGATGTACTCTAACACATCTAGCTGTAAATGTAAGATACTCATCAATTTAAATCTCTAGATTTAAAGAAAACATGTCTAAAAATGTGACGGTTGCCTCATAACAATAAACTAAAATTGCAGTGCTGCAGACAGCAACTACCCATAGGGTTGAAGGACTCCTTTCTCCGCAATTAGACTCGAGGTTGGTCCGTTGTGCGTACTAGCAACTACCCATATGCCCATACATAACATTGTACAACATTAACACCAGAGTAGGGTCTTCTTAAGGATATTTAGATTGTGTCTCTTTCAGAAGATGTTTCTGAACTATACTTTGTAAACATGTACGAAGTACTGGGAAAATTGACACAAATGGAGAGTGACATAGGATTATGATAGTATAAAGTTGTATGAGTCGCAATAATTCCTTACCTTAAAGGAATGAGGCTACATGCTATTACTTTGTCAAATTGTTTTAACATGTAAAATTATATAATATTTATATTAAACACAAGTGAAATAAAATATAAAAAATAATACAGTCTAAAAACACATTATCTAACCAAAATGTAGAATCCAATTAAGGGAACTGTGTTTATTTTTATTTAAATGTGTGTAAGTCATAAGTGAATAACTTCTGAAATGTTATAAACAACAAGAAAATACCAATTTATAAATAAATGGAGACAAGCTTAGATTATTTTAACAATTGTTGGGAAGATAAGAAGATTATATTGACAACTTACAATTTATCTACCAATAACCTAATTAGTGGTTTACCAGCTAAGAATTCCTATCTTAGACATAATAGACATAGACATACCATTTGCAGTCCTATTTGAAAAACAGTAGTTGGTGGAAATGATCGTGCAGAATCCTTAAATATACTCCACACGTCTTTGCCATATCTTTCTAGGACTAAATATCTGTACTTTTCACCTTTGAAGGTATGTGAGCCATTTCCATAGTAACTTGGCATGCCAAATGTTGATAATTTCTTTTCCTTCATGAATTTGGCAACTAAAACAGATATTTTACAGTACTATACAATTGAATTACAGTTGTTTTACATGCTTTATCAACTATTACAACCACTTACTGTCATCCTTGTTAGCATTTCTTATGTAAAAATGCTTCTCTACAAACAGTGGTCCATTTTCATGAGGTTCCTGAGAGTAAAAATTGTTCAATTATGAACAGAAACCATATCCTATTACATTATCATTATAGTATTAATCTATCTTTATAAACACATAAGACATATTTTATATATTAAGAACACAGAAAGACCTACACATTTAAACTTTAGTTTAGACCCTAGATAAAAGAATTACAGCCTATTTTGTGTATATATAAGCACACAAGTTGTGTTTTCAGTCAAGCAAGGCATACTAGAATACATAATAGGATTCATAATAGGATTCAAGTGTTATAAAGATTATTATTATTATAATAGCTTACTATTTTAACGACGAATGGATATTCAGATGCCTTTTTCGGAGAGCCTTCATGATTGCACGCTGAATATATTTCCCCAAATCCGCCGACTCCAATCGAAGGGCCGATTCTCCATTTCTTCTTAGCTATCGTATCATTAATTACTTCTCCTGCTGGAATTGGTGCTGGCATTTTGTAGCCATTAGCTTTTTTCTTCGGCGCTGCCGCTTTTCGTCCTCTTCCAGTCATATTAACTAAGTATATCTACTGATAATTAATTACACTTTATTTACACAAGCATGATTTTTAATTACAACAGATTTGATTATACAACAGTTTAGATATGACAAAACTTTAAATAGTAAAACGAATAAATTCTACCGCTGTTTCTTCGTTTTCGTTTGGTTTGAGGTTTCTAGTTTCTACAATCTACAAGTTTAGTTTGATGTTTGACTTATGTTGCCATAGAGCATAGTGTCGTCTGACAGTCACAGATTATCACTGACCACAGACTTAGGCGCAAAATGAAATTCTATGAACGATCTAAAACAGTGCCGTTTCCTTAAAAAAATTCTTAGCATTCAAGGATTTTAAACAATTTGTTAAATTTGAATTAAATCTGATAATCAGTTCCGTCATAATAATAATTATTCCATTTTACTTAATATGTGCGCTGTAGCATGGTGCGGGTAACAGAATTGCTTAATTTTTCTTTCAATTTGAGTTCATTTGTAGACTATAAAATTCTGGCTGGGATAAATTTAAGTTACTACAGTTCATGATATATATAATATATCATGAATAACTGTAGTAAGTTATATATTATATGTATATATCATATATAGTAACTTATATCAGTAATATCAGCTGTACCACTGAAATACTAAGTCATAATTTGTAAATCGCGGCAACTTCGAAGTGTGAAACGAAACGTTACTGAAACTGCCACCCGCACCAAGCTACAGCGCACATGCATACTATACAAACAACAACTTGTATGTAGTAATAATACAATGAATAGTTCCCAGTAGTAGATTGAATAAAAAAAGAAAATGTCGATATAGCAGAAATAATAGGCAAAAGACACCGTGCAGTGCGGGCGCCATTGCCTGGCCCACTTACTTTTTGACCTCTCAGTCGATTGTTAAACGGTTAGTGAAGTGCCACAAACAGGAATGAAAACTTTCTCGAAAACAGTAGTAGGTTATCCTATAATATCAAATCGTTGATTTACTGTGAATAATCGACAAAATTATTTGATGTCTCCTCGCCGACAGGTCTAGTTGGCTAGTTCAAACGTAGTCGTACGCTACGCACCGGCCTTCGCTTCGTGCTTTGCACTTTATGTCTAGCAATGTAATGGGTTGGATTTAGAATTACGTCCCCCAAATTTGATGATACTGATTATATAGGTGTCTCGGGGGATCTTGATAAGAACACCTCCAAGTGATTTTTGCTACCGGAGTTGCGTCTAAGTATTAAAAAAATGATTTAAAATTTTGTGAAATGTATTGAAATTCGTATACAAACCGTACATATTCTACTTTTCTATTGGTCATTTGGTTATTAGAGATGTGACATTCTGCATAAAAAATCGGTTTTTTAACTAATCGATTGTTTTTTTAGCAAGATTTTTAAAATATTTATAGTCTGTTTTACCCCTAGAGTGTTATTTGAGAGGTGGTGGAGGGGCTGCATTTCCCGTAGCGCCGGAGCTGTCCAAAAAACCAATTATTATCTATTGTTCGGTTAGGTTAGGTTGGTATATTAATATTTTTTTCAAATAACTGTTTCTGGCGCGTGAAAGTGGTTGAGGGTTATTATTCTAAAGTTCAAAAATTAGGAAATAATAAAAAAAATGATTATTTTTTATTCATTTCTAAAGGAACATTAGCATGAAATATGGGGTGTTGCTATAATCGGTGTATTTGGCTGTGTGTCGTTCTGACGCATAGATAAACTATGGACTGAAACAACTTTATGGAAAGGTCTAGGGGGAAGAAGGAGGAAAGGGCGACCTAGCAAAAGGTGGATAGATGATATAGAAACTAAAGCATGAAACAAATGGAGAATGAAAGTCATGTATAGAGCTGGAAAGCGCTGAATGCCTTTAGCCGAGAAAGGATTTCAATCTACACACAGAAGGAAGTTACGAAATAAAGAAGAAGAGTAATAAATACCTATTTCATAAATACAATAAAAGTACATTGTATATTTATTGTAAACAATTGATTTGAAATAAACTGGCTTTATTATTATTATTGTCGCTGTAATAATTGATTAAATGACTGATGCGAGATAAGAATTGTTTTGTTTTGAAATTAAAAAGTAGATTGCAACAAAACTTCGTTTAATTGACTACACGGCTCACATTGGTTATAGTTGAGATTTATTTAAGCATTGATACTTCTGAACATTTGAAAAGTAAACAATCATAATCTTTTATTCGGAATTTGTTCTGATTGAAACACAAGTGTACAACGTAGCGATTACTTTTTGTTTAATACTTATATGAAGATGGGGTATTTAGTTATTTACATATTCCTTGTGACTATACGAAAATGTGCATATAACACCGTATAGGTGCTTATATTATAAAAAGTGTCAAAACGTTTATTTTATATATTGGGTTTTATCGTATGACGTATGTTTTAAAAGTACAACTAAAGTAAGATACGAATTTAAAAATATACTAACGAAGTATCACTCTCAAAGATTTGCGGACTATTATATCATAATACGTTACGATACGTATACGTTTTAATATAACTATAATGATTACCAGCAAAATCAAATAATTCCCATCAATCGACTCCCACGCTATCGTCCACTGTAGTCCTACGGGGTCCTACGAAAGCAGCGTAATTTATGTGATATAAATAGTATGACTGCCTTTTAATTATTAACGAAGACAATTAAGTTATTTGACAATTACATTAATTGTCTTTGGTATTATCTAGCCCTGTTGTACTTGAGTTTGTCCATAGATAGTTTTAATTATACCTAGGTAACACTGAAGATGTTTAGAAAATGAAAAACTTAGCTTAATGTAGAAAGTTGCCAATACTTTTATTGTTTTTCGAAGTAATCTCCGTTCCTCTCTACACATCGTCGCATTCGATGGAAACACTGAGAAAAGCAGTGGGCCCATTCTTCCTTAGGGGTATCTTCTATGGCATTTTCGTACGCTTTCACCGCATCTTCAGGGCTCGTAAAGCGAATACAGTTCTTGGGAATAAATAAAAGTCGCAGGGCACCAGGTCAGGACTGTATAGCGGATGACTCATTATCTCAACACCTGCTACATATAGTCAAATATTCAAAGGCGCCCGTTTTGCGGAGTGCGCTGAAGCATTGTCGTGGTGATGGAAGATCCTGCTTCGAGGGCGCTGCTGTCGAATTTTTTCAATAACAACAGGCAAACAGCGATTGACATACCAGTCTGCAGTAACTGTCCTTCCATCTTCTAGCACAACTGTCGCGAAATGACCATTCCGACCAAAGAATGAGGCAATCATCTTTTTTCTTGACTTCTTCCTTTCTTTACTTTAGTTGGCCGATCCTCGAAAGGAAACACCCACTGAGCTGATTGTCTTTTGGTTTCGGGTTCGTAGCAAATTATCCAACTTTCAACACCTGTGACTATGTCAAATACAGCATTTGAGTCACCGCCGTTGAACTTCTCTAACATTTAGCGACAACAGTCCATGCGGTGTTTCTGGTCATTCAAATATGGGAATCGATCTGGTACAAAGCTTATTTTTTTAACTTGACTCATACCAATGCTTAGGCTTGCCCGTATCTGCTGATAGGTCACTCTCTTATCTTCCTCTATCATGCGTCGCACAGCACTGATGTTCCGCGATCTTCAGTAGTCAATGTTAAAGGATCGCGGATCATCATTGAGATTGCTACGTAAACGCTTAAACTCGTTAAACCAATTTTAAATAGTGGCACGACATGGGGCTTCATTAAGAAATGCTAATCGCAGCCTATCATAGCTTTGTTGTTGAGTAAGTCCACAACGAAAGTCATAATAAATCATTGACCGAAATTTTTTTCGCGTTAGGTTCATTTTCACGTGTATCATGTGTTTTAGATTTGCCGCCAATTCACAAAAACAAATTAATGCAATATACTACATTAGGTTACCAAAGAGTTCTAAAATTGAAATTCAAAAAAAGTTTTCATTAGCAATGTGGCTGTGTGTGTAGTAGCAACTGGCCAGTTCTAAACATTTTCAGTGTTACCCACGTATTACTAGCTTGAGGCGTCAGAATTATTTAACTTCATACTATTGAAAATATAATGTTAAATTACAGATTAGTGATAAAGAAAATTTCCCGATGAGATTTAGGGAATATTAATAATGTAATAAAGTCATATAGTATTATCATAGAGTATTGTTACAAAAGAAATAATCACCATTTAATAAAAATTAAATTTTCTAAACGTTGTTTAGTAAAAATATAGATCATTTAATTGATAAATTTACAACTTCACTAGCCTTACATTTAATTTATTGAGTAAATCATTATTTTTATATATTTATATAACAAGTATCTTAATACAACTATTCACATATTTTCTTAACCTACTTAATTGGAGTCATTGGAGAGCATATAAGGCACTTTAAAAATAGAAATCTATGTTAATATTTTCTCATATATTAATAGTTATATGTGATTTGTACAGAAACAAAACATCTTATAGATGAATTTAAGGACAAGTGATATTTGTTGAATAAGTACAGTACAAAATACAAAAGATACGCATATTTTTGAAGGACCCTTTTTCTGCACGTATTTGCAATGCCTATGAGCAAATGTGTTCTGTGGTGCTGTCATATGGAGTGGCTTCCCATGGAAGGCTTGGAAGTATCTACTCATCTTCTGCCTAGAGCTACTGCTGGTCTTCTAGCTCTAGGATATGGTGACGTTTTAGTCGTCTCACATACTGTTCTATAGTGAGTTAGCAAGTTTGTTCGGGTGACAGGTTAACGCTTAAAGGAAACTGAACCTAACATACAATGCCTATAGTCTCATTTGATGTAAACTAAGATGTTTTTAAATACCACGATCTAATATTATTGTCGTAATTAAGTATATGCACGTGTTAAAAACTCCTAATAAAAGTCATCATCTTCGTCGTCGTAGGATAGCGAGTACCAATCGCGAGCGACGTCTTCATAAATGATCCTTCTGACATCGTCATCATATTGAGGACGAAGAATTCTTGGAGACCGGGCT